TAATTTACTAAAAATATCCTTTAACTCAGACAGACTATGATTCAGTGAAGGAGAGGCTTAGAGACGTTTTTGGGCCTCAATACTCCCTGCCATTCTTCCAGACACATGTGGATGCTCGCCCTCGTAAACCAGGTGAAATTTTGGATGTGTACAGTGCAGACATCACTTGCCTTGTGCTAGAAGCTTTTCCCAACTATGACCACAACGCTCTAGAAGGGGAGAAATGTTGCTGTTTTGTCGCAGGCTTAGATCTAACTTTACAGTCAAAAATCCATGAGATGGGTGCAGAGGACCTTGGGGACGCCGTGCGCATTGCCAGCCGCTGTGAGAGAGCACGTGCAGCACTACATCTGACCGCTGCGGGATCCACCCACACACAACCTTCAGAAAAGGTAGCCATGATTTGTCCTAAACCTACTGATGAAAAACATCTTCAAGCAGTTGAGCAGCTGACTCTTACTGTAAACAGTTTGAAATATGAAGTAGAGCAGTTACCTTGCTCAGCGTGTTGACTCCAGGACTGAAACAAACCTGTCACCTTCCCAAGTCCAGTCTCTGAAGTCGCTGCTTCAGAAACACTCAGAAGACAGAGGTCGCACAGGGATAATCAAGCATTGTATACGCACTGGTGATGCCACACCAATTAAACAGAGAGCCTACAGACTGACACCAGAACAGAGAGCTGAAATACAAACTCAAGTGGAAAACCTGTTGAAAGCAGATGTCATTGAAGAAAACTATAGTCCCTGGGCTGCACCTGTGGTTTTGGTGCGTAAGAAAAATGGCACATGGCGTTTTTGCCTAGACTATAGAAAACTGAATGTAGTGATAATCAAAGACTCCCACCCACTTCCAAGAGTCGATGACGCACTGGATGCTTTGTCTGGCTCTGCCTGGTTCTCCACCATGGACCTGCAACATGGCTATTGGCAAGTCAAGCTGGAAGAGGAAGACCGTGAAAAGACAGCATTTACAACAGGCAGTGGATTTTATCAGTTTAAAGTTATGCCAATGGGACTCACCAACGCTCCAGCCACATGCCAGCGCCAGATGGAAATGGTACTTCATGGCCTTCCATGGAAAACGTGCCTCGTGTATTTGGATAATGTCCTCATTTACAGCCACTCTTTCAGTGAGCATCTCCAGCACCTTGAAGAAATCCTCTTCAGATTCCAGTCAAGTGGCCTGAAGCTAAATCCATCAAAATGCTGTTTTGCCAGAGATCAGGTACAATTTCTGGGCCATGTTGTATCCAGAAACGGCATTCGGCCAGACCCACGCAATGTGGAAAGTGTTCAAGACTGGCCTACTCCATGGACAGTAACAGAAGTAAGAGCATTCCTTGGACTCTGTTCATATTATCACAAGTTCATCAGAAACTTTGCACATCACAGCGTCCCGCTACATGTACTCTCTGCAAAGAATGCTGCTTTCCAATGGACTTCTCAGTGTCAGGATGCATTCACTTACCTGAAGAATGCACTCACAAACCCTACTGTGGTTGCATTTCCTGACTTCACATCACCATTCTCCCTCTACACAGATGCGGCATGTTCTGCTATAGGTGCTGTACTGGCTCAGACACAGGGACATCAGGAAAAAGTGGTTGCATACGCTAGCCATGTTCTCACAAAAGCAGAAAGGAAGTGGTCAACTTAGGATAGAGAACTCTGGGCTATCGTCTGGGCGGTACAACATTTTCACCACTATCTATACAAGCAGCCCTTTTGTTATTATCACAGACCACAAACCTCTCCTGGGTGTCAGGAAAATACCCATTGACAATGACAGAACTGGTCGTCGTGCATGATGCGCTCTTGAACTTGATCCTTTTGAGTGGACTGTAATTCACATAGATGGCCACCGCCACCTCAATGCAGATGCTATGTCACGTCACCCGGCTGACACCAGACCAACAGAGCACCTCCTGTATGACTCCTGCCAGTTCACACCCTAATGAAAGACATTCAAGCCCTTTAAGTCCATCTTGTCTTGTCAGTTCTGTATATCATCACAGCCCCGGTGGTACTAATCCAAAACCAGTTTACTCTAACCAGACCACTCCACAGCGTCCAGGTCCAGACTTAAAGTGTGCACCCCAGTCGGTCTCCTACACATTTGTGCTTCAACTAACCTGAAGAGGACCTTAAAAAGGCAGAACAGCAAGATGCAACACTGTCCGAGGTTATCAATTGGAAAGCTAAAAGTCAGAAGCCTCCATACTGGTGCATGAAAAAATGCACACCTGGTGAAAAAGCACTTTGGCAAGAGTGTCACAGACTTATCTTTCATAATGGGTTTCTCTGTCGTAAAGTGTTTGATCCACACACTAAGTCAGCACTTTATCAGGTTGTTGTTCCTCATGCTCTTAAAGATACTGTCCTACAGCTGTTGCATGGAAATCCAGTAACTGGTCATCTGTCGGCAGACAAAGTCCTGAGACGGGCTCAACAACTGTGTTACTAGCCATTCATGTCACGTGATATTAAGATGTGGTGCAAGCAGTGTACCCCATGTGAGTCCCACACCTCATCAGAGAGCTCCAATGCAAACTATTGTTGCTACTGAGCCATTCCAAAAGGTTGCAGGAGACATACTTGAGCTCCCCATCACAAGCCGTGGCAACAGGTATGTGCCTGTATTACAGATATGTGCCTGTATCTTCAACCAAGTCCAGTTGCCCTTGATTTTAACCTTCGTTGGATAGGTATGTGCTTGTTGTTTAAGATTATTTTTCCAAGTATGTCAACCTCTATGCCATTTCAGACCAGCGCTCCACAACAGTTCAAATGTCTGTTTGAAAACTACATCTGTGAGCATGGGATTCCAGAAATGCCGCACACAGATGAAGGAAGGCAGTTTGACGCTGACGTAGTGTAGAAACTGTGTCAACTATTGGGTATGCAGAAAACATGAACCAGCCAATATCATCCTCAGTGTGACGGCATGGTTGAAAGGTTCAATAGGACACTTATTGATCAGTTAACCAAGTTACTTCTTCAACAGTCAGGTGAATTGGATGACTGTCTCAATCAAGTTGCTTTGGCCTACAATACCAGCCCTCTACTACAGGATTCATTCCGTTCTTCATCACACATGGGCATGAAGCTAGGATGCCTGCCTACGTACTGTTGCCTAACAACACACCGTCTTCATCTACTCCAGGTTCTCATTCTGTTGCACAGTTAACCCAGAAACTTCAGTCTGCCTTCAGTGCTGCTTTGCGGAACAGAGACTGTACCCACAATCACCAGAAACGCCAGTATGACAACAGTATCAAACATACTCCCTATGTGCCCGGAGATCTCGTGTGGTTAAATGACCCCACTACAGCAAAACAAAAACTTGCTCCACACTGGAGAAGGCCCCTTTTAAGTATTGGAGTGCCTTGGATCTGATGTGGATTCTCCGGGAGTGACATACAGGATTCATTACCTCCTGGATCAGTCTGGCAAGTCCCAGATAGTCCATTACAACCGCCTCAGACCTTACAATGCACCTGTGCCAGATCGTGGCCAGAGGACACCTGTTTGTGAGTCATTTTTTTCAACCTCAACTCCCTTTCTTGACTGCATTGTCGGGTGCTTTGCCCTTTACATTTTCAAGGTTTGCACCATCCAAGGGCATCAGCAGTCCGAGCTTCCTCCCTGACCCCTCAGATCCGCCAGCCACAGACCCACTCCCACTCTCCCTTGTCCCCTACTCCTGGGACTGTTCCCTCCTCAGGCAAGTTGCTGGTATGCTTGTATGACACGGTCCCCTCTGCCATTCCTGGGCAAGGCTTGGGTTCTTCAGTGCGCCCAAGACGATGTCAAGTTAGACCTCACAGCTACCTTATGGACTATGTTCTAAAGTAAGACTGTTGCCTTGTTCTTCTAATAGCAGTTGCTTGCTTCTCCGTATGTAATGTGAAACGGGGACATTTCTTTTCGGGGAGGTGGAAGAAATGTAAGAGTTAATGTAAGAGAAGTTAAGTTAATTCATATTTTTGAGGTAATTTACTAAAAATATATTTACAGTGTTTACTGTGGAGAGTAAAGTGCTGTGTAATAAAGTTATCCGGCTCCATCCTGTTGTTTCTTCTCAAAGAGTGTTCCACCCACCACACATCGAACCCCCCATGTTACACTATTATTTGGCTGTGAGTACCCTGGTGGTTTAGCCTGGAGCCTGCAGTATCTGAATAGGGTAGCAGAGCTATGTGACTCCTGACTTAAACTTCACTAGCTTCTAAACTGTAAAACTTTGACATTTAAAACTTAAAGATGTATTAAAGTAGTAACTAACCTGTCATGTGATCCTGACCATGGCACTTGAAACAATAAAAACACAACTTGTCATCTAAAAAAAGACCGCTTGAGTGAATTTTCTTTCAATGATTGAAAACAGCTTCTTATGTATAACTTGGTGAAAGTGTGAGACATCTACCTGATTTTTCACGGTTCTGGAAAGTGAGAAGTTTCAGAGTTTCATTTGTCCCGCATTTCAATCATCCCTCTCTGTCCCTCCCACCATAAGCAACTACAGATAGTGGATGGATGCTATTACTTCAAGGCAATTTAGCATTGGCTTCAGCAATTGGAAATAACAGTGGTTGCTTGGTGCAGTGTTGCAGACAGTGATGGTTGCACAATTAACTAAAGCTGATGTCTGAAGAACAGTCAGATGTATCTGTGATGAAATGTTCAGCTCCCCAAAACAGCACAAATTACACATCTGATGAATTCTGTTGAGAAGGAAGCTGTACACTAAGAAACATAATCAGCTGTTCACAGATGTTGCTAACCAACAGCTGATGACCTCCAAAGTAACTGCTAAAGGCTTAATTACATTACCTGAGGGACCTCTACTAAGTCTGCAGCTGTTCAGCTACACACAAGGTCAGAGAGAACACAAGGTTTGTTTGTCTTTGAAAGTATGACATGAAAACATTGCATCTGCTTTGAAAACATGGCAAAAGCTCAGAGATAAACAGAGAGACCAGCCGTCAGGAGGTAGAGAAAAGGAGATAGCTTTACTATAAAGAAGGCGTCGCTAGCAGAAGTTGCAACATCTCATCATACACGCATACATGGTGAATATATTTATGCCATTTTCTGTTGAGTATGTACCTTACAAAAGCTGTTTTGCGTGTCGAAGCAAGACTTTGACTGCTCTGATACACATGTTAAAAGAAGATGCTAAAATGAGAATTCATAAAAAAGCCGAACAGCATGTGATCTATCATTTAAAAATCCAGTTGCAAATCTCGTATGTGCACCAGTAAAATACTAGACTTTGCAGCATTTTGAAATGAAGAAAAACACAAAGCTGTAAAACTTCACATTGGCATTTTCTTTTCCCCAATGAAAGGTGAGCTGAGATAATGCAGACAGTAAAGAGAGACACTCGGCTCCGTGCACACCTCAAATCAACAAAAAAAGCACTGTATCAGCAAATATGCACAATACTTGTTTCTTTGTTATGTAGCCAGTTTACAACATTTCCCCACTGTGATCCGCTCGGGGCAGAAGAGACAGGTCAATGGGAAGGAGGTGTGTGTGTTTGGGTTCGTGCAGGTTTCCAGGCCAGATCATAAAAAAAAATGCTTCTGAGTCCAGGGAGAGAGATCTGACTTCCGTTCCAAACCAATCTCTCTGTGCTTTTTCTTCCTGTTTCCTTCTATTTCAGCATGTCTCCTGTTTTTGTCAAGATAAAACAAAGGGATCACAAAAAAAAACCAACTGAGCGGCCATTGCTTTGAGTTTCTGCAGAAAAACATACGGGAACAAGAGTTTTTGGAAGAGGAAATTACAGTAACAGAGATTTTTAGAGAATCCAACAGGGATGAGAAATACCAGGCCAGAACTGTTTTCAAAATGGCCGCCTGTCACCGGAACACATGTTCCACTTTAGGGGCCTCTTTCAAAAGTCTGCTGATTGAAAATGTCATAATGTATCAACAAGGTATATCCTAATACAAAGGCTCCTCTAAATTAGCCAAGAAGTGCAGCCTTCTATTGCCTACATTTGGTCCGCTGTTTGCAGGCTTCATCAAATGGTCATTTTTAATTGTGCATTTAGCCAATCCATGTTATATGTAATTAATATCAAATAAAGTTGACAACTGTAAAGCCACTGCAGGATATACATAGTGACTGCTGGGAATAAACTAAAATGCAAATGTAAAATAAAAGGGACAGATCAGAGATAGTTATATGCAGATATTTGCCTTTTTACCTGCCACACTGTTTGTTATTTGCCTTTTTACCTGCCACACTGTTTGTTAGTTGTCCGCCAGTAATCTTACCAGTATTTACCACTGGTATTTACCAAAGAATTAAAATGTAACGTGACATGTAGCTATCCGCCTTCTGTTCTGTTTTTGTTGCCGTTGTTCTGATACTAAATGGTGGTGCTGCTCAGGCCCACCATCCTGCAGTGAAAAAGAGCTCCATTATTTCATTTGACGGTAACTACTTAGTGGTTCAAGTTGACACAGAGGGTCTCAATGCAGAATTAAGGATCTGAATAGCCCACAATGGACATGCATGGACATTGGATAATTGGTTTACATGACATTGCCGTCTGCATTGTTGGACACAAACACACGTGTGAAGTTGGCGTATATGTTCCGAATAAATTTTAGGCTGCATGCAGACTCCTGTGGCCATGGGCTGATTTGTTTTTAAAAAATTTACGTTATGTGGATGATCACGGTGACAGAAACGGAAAGAATAGTCCGAGCTTTAGTTTTGGTCTGTTTGAGGCTTGACAGGAGTAGCAGACTCAACCTTCAGTCCTCTGAGGTGACCCCTGAAATGGGACTAGCTAAGCAACAATAGGCATGTTAGGTGGAAGGCATTATGGGAAGGAGTCAATGCAGTCTCAGAAAGATGACAAATGTGTAACAGTTTAAAGGAGGGGAGTTCCAATACCTTAGTGAGTGCATGTTTTTTAGGCTTACTAGCAGCTTGTGTGCTGCAATGCTACAAACGGTATATTGCCGGAGCACTTACATCTTATTTACATCATCAATGTTTTCCTCTTTCACAATATAGAATCCAAGCCATCATCAAACAAGTGACTGATAGACTTAGCCACAGTCAGTACCACATATCACAATGTCAAAGCAAATGGCAACAAAAAGTGGAGGATGATTCTTGTTACTTTTTCAGAGTGCAAATGTTAGTCAAAGCTACATTACAAAGGTGCATGACAGACTAAAGATGCACCTGTCGCATTTGCTTGGTGGATACAGATTTGTGACTTTGTTTCCTTTTCGGATAAAGCATTTTTCCGGGGAAATCAACTTTAAATATTTACAAGGATAAAGTATTTTTTCAGGACCTACATGTACAGAAAATACGTCAAATAAATAATAAGCAACAATATTGATTTTCTGCGTGGTGAAAAAGTTATGTTACATAAATCTGAATAACAACACAGAGTAACGGTAATACAACATGAGTAAGAGAAGAGCAGCACAATGGACAGATAAACATGACCTTTTTCATTTACTATGACATGTATTCTTTTGTTTTGTTTTGTTTACAGCAGAAAAGCCAGCTGCTATAAAAAATATCCTGAACATACTGTTGTGTTTGAAGCCTCTCAGGATGAACAATAACAAATTCAGGAGATATCTTTATTTTGGCTATTTTTGATGTGAAACAACAAAATAAGTTGGTCAAATATAACAATGATTAAATTAAGGACTAATATATTAATACTATCCACATAATGTAATAAATAGAAATATGAAATAAATATTTGAAATACAATGTGAACTCCAGTTGCTAACTGCAGTTAAGATCAATTTGATTTAGCATTGGAGGCTTTAATAGTGCTGTTAGTAGCAGGTAACTACTGTACAAAAATTGAGTGCCAAAATTATGTGGTGAAACCATTGAGCACTCATTTAGTGTAAAATAAAGAAACCAAAGCAATCTGACTGTCAGTCCATCAGTCTGCTAACAGACTACATGACAAACATGGTTGTAGGACAAGTGAAATACTGGTGCGTATATACTTATTCTGTATGGGGGAAAACATCTTTTTTCTTTCTTCCTCTGCAAGAACTAAAAAGTAAGCTGATACGTTTTATTTCAAAGGTGGCTGTGAATTTAATGTATATATTTTCATGCTGTAAATTGGTAATTTATTTCAAGTATTCTATGCATCCCTAACAAATTGAATGAGTTTATAAAATCTAGAGTGAAGGAAAGGTGTGACTAAACACGAAGAGAATTTTAGAGACAGTGTGATTGCATATAAAGTCGATGCAAAGACATGAGAGGATATTATATGCTATTCTGAGTCCTCATGACTCCAATTTATGAATATACAGAGACAAGAAACAAAGAAAAGAGGTCTGGACGAAAGTGATAGAAATAAGTGGAGGTTGGTGCATATGTTGCTAGCTAGCCAACAGCTAATGTCTGTAAATTGGTTGTTTGAGGCGCATAAACACAGACGGCTAAAACAATCCAGCGAAGAATTTTGTGGGAATAAAGCAAGACCAAAATTTAGTCTGATCACACCTTAAGGGTCCCAGCCTCTCATGCTGCATTTATGTCAACGCAGACATTTGCTTCAAACTTGAAAATACTATACGTCTCAGCTTACAGGTGCTAAAACCTTATTGGGAACTTTGGGGTTGAGACCCCAAACTTCGAGAATTCTGGTGTCACAATTGAGAATATAAGAAAACCAATTTTCACATCACAATAAGTCTTTTTGTGATCACCACGTTGGATTGACGTTGCAATGTTTGGTTTGGTATCAAAAGTAGGCTACTGCTCACTTATTCATGTTTGACAAATAAGGAACCAAAGTCAACATGAAAAATAGACTCATGGAAGCTGTACAGATCCAAAGAACAACAATTGTCAACATTTCACATGACAGCTGTTCCCATTTGACATGAATGTAGCATTAGCCTGCATGCTAATTAACTGGGTTGTTGTCTAATGGTGTTTCTCAAGCAAAACTAACTTTCCTCTCAGTTGCCTTCCCATTTGTCTTACACTAAGTTACTACCATGCTCCAAAATAATGTTGATCATCTTTTTTAAAAATGGGATTCATTAACAGCATACTGTAGCAGAAACAGCTTTTTTTTGTGGTGGCCATTTTGAACATCTGCACTACGACATTGGATTAGAGATAAGAAAAACATGTCTACCACATCGTTCCAAGGCAAAGTGAATAGAAGCGTATGATTTCGCCTGCAAGTGGTAAAAAAAGAAACCCAAAATGTGTACTTTTACTAACCAGATAAAACCCAAAATGGTATGAATGAGGTGACAGTGCATAGTTTTGCAGGGCACTAAAATGTGTGCCAGGATTATATACAGCACTCATTAAGATTCAATGACTTGTCTACCAGCTGTGGAAAAACTAAAATCTTTCATTGCGTAAATATCAATATGATAAACATATCTGCCGGCATCCTGTTGAGTTTGATGGTTAGAAGCTGATATGTTACAGGATGGGTCCAGAGGGTATGTAAAGGACCTCTTGTGTGTACTTTAATGGGATGCTACACAGAGGTATGACGGACATATCAGGAAGGAAAGCACTGACATTTTTTCGGAGCAGAAACAAAGAATAAATTCGAAAGAACGCTTGTTGATGCCTCCAAGTGCTGAAAGCTGCCCTGAAGGCACACTTCAAGTCTGTGTGGGTAAAGGGCAGGCAGAGCGTAGAGGAAAACGAGCACAGTCCACTTTGTCCAAACTTCACCTCCAAGGGGCCAATTTCTTAGAGCTGGAAACAAAACAAAGGCTTGTGGTCTAATTCCACTCCCGTGTTCCCCTGTTATTTTATCTGCAGAGGAAAGCCTACATAGTTTTCCAGACTGAAATGTGTTTCATATATTAATATATTTGTGTGTGTGTGTGTGTGTGTGTTTGTGTGTGGTGTTGTGGTTTGCTGTAAGGCCCTCAAATCAGAGGGTGCAACTGAGTCCCCAGTGTGCTACTGTGGCGCTATGCCAGTGAGTAGATGGCGTTTACAGGCGAGGTGGCCTCAGAGCTCTCGTTGCCCTCCGTCTCGTCCTTGTCCTTCTTCACAGTGTACTGGCCGATGAAAGAGCCATCCTCGTTGAACTGGCCATCACCGCCCTCGCCGTAGTCCACCAGGCTGTCATCGCTTTCCTTCACATTGCCATCCAGGGATGTCTGGCTGCCCTGCAGAGGCTTGTTGTCTTCATCGCTGCTGCAGAGGTAATTGAGAGGAGAGTTAAAGATTAAAATGGGAGCAGGATGGTGTTATACAGTGTCAGCAGGAGTTCGGGACCCTATTGTCCCCATCAGCACGGGTTAAGAGGGGAAAGTGAAAGATTATGAGGATTGCAGGTAAAGAAATTATGTTTTTACATATATTCAGCTTTTCTATTAACTTTTGGTGAAGTGACTTAATGTTTAGGTCACTCAGGCCTTGTCTAAACTAATTTTTTATTTTTTTTTTAGGATTAATTTCTTTTCCATATTTTCCTTAAAGGATAGGTTTGAATTTTATGTTAATACAGCACTCACATGTTATATGTCATATGTTAGTCAAGCTTTGATGGAATTGCATCATGACCAGCAGAGAGAAGAAAATATTACAACTCTCTATACATATGGCATGTGAATATTGTATCAAGGTAGATTTGAGAAAAGCCAAACCTATCATTTAAAAACATACCTGTAGTTGCATTTGCATTTTACACCAGATAAAAGTTGATTTTGCAGAGCACCATACAGAAATCACCTCTATGTTTTAAAAGAAACCCTGTCTCCTGAAAATAATGTTCATATAGAATTAATCTGCCCTAAATGTTTTCTAGGAAATACAATTATCCCCAGATTAAGAATTTAAGCACAACAATTTATGATAGTGAAAATATTCCAAACAGCAATTACATTCCCTCCAAAATGTATTTGGCAAAGCAAATAAGTAAACGTATGGTATTTTGTAGGAGACAGGGGTTATTAAAAGAGATACTGTCCTCAAAAATAAGACATTTGCATACACATGCTAAATGGTGGTCAGATTATGACATGAGATCTAAGCATGAAAACTCCATTGCACCTCATTTATGGAGCTGTGCTTGATCTCAATTCAGAGCATGACTGCATGTCTCTTTACTCTGATTTTAGGGGGAAGAAAGTGTCATGCACAGGGAAAAAGAGCTACAGACTAGCATTAGCTTTCTTGTTTCAGATCAGGCCAGTAGCATAACAGCAGGAAATGCATTTGAAGGATGCAAAAGTGACGTATTAACTGTGGGATTTATCTTCTCTGCTCATGTCTGTGCACTGCATTTCAAACATCATGGATTCAGAATCCCTAGAAGAGTAGTGAATCTACACTAAAACGTCTCAGAATCATCATGCTCCATGCTGAAAGGCTTTGGAAACCACACACATCACTTGATAGATTTTACAATTTTACCATACATGAACTATGTACAAAAAAGGGAAATTGAGACACCGTTCATCTAAAGTAAATGCTATATGGATCTAAAAAAATGGACTATGAAAATAAAGTTTTTCACGAGGAGTAAACCTAGTTGGAAAAGGTCAGCCATTCCTTTTAGTTTGTCCAATACTAGCTTCCTTTGGTATGAATGTAATAAAAGTACGGTGTACCCCGCCTTTCGACCGATGTCACCTGGGATTGGCTCCAGCCCCCCGCGACTATGTACGCAAGATAAGCGGTTGACAATGGATGGATGGATGGATGGATATTTTTGGTGGAGGGAGGGGTCATGTATTTCCCCCATTCGCTCAGGGAGACCCAAGGAAAAATATTTGTAGCTCCGGGGACCGGCAAGATTTTTAAAAAAGCGTTATCGATTCAGGTGTGGATGTCCTCATGACTCATCGGTACATCAGATACAGTGTGCAGTAAGGTGAGCAGCACATCAGCTGGCAGATAGAAAGTGGATCTGTGGTTTGATGCCTTTTGAGTGTGCCAGGAGTAAATCAGAAGGACATCTCTCTATACAACAGAGGCTCTGAAATGCTTCAAGATTACATCTCTAACAGCTAATGAAATAAATCTGGCCAAGAGGCAGAGTCCATTTTAAATGGCCTGCCCTGGTCGCATTTGCCAAGCTTGTTTTCATCTGTTGTCCGTACTGCACCAGCAACTTCTGTGAGCTGGTTGGCTTTAAGAGAGCATTTTATTTCAGTGACTTCAAAATGTCTTCAGAATGAAAGAGGGCAGAGTCGGGAACGATTCAATTATCTGATTAGGTGATTTTTTGATTAGAAGAGCAAAGTTGGGGGTAGAGGCTTAGGACTTGGGAGCAAGTTTTAGATAACTTTCCCGGCAAAACAAAACATAAACTTGCCCTCATCGGCAACATTCACAAAATCTCATGAAAATTACAACAATTAAGATGCCTTAATAGTCAGGAAGTCAACTCTTAACTCAACAGATTTGTATTGGGAACATTGCAAACCCCGACCGGATTTCAAACGGTGAGACGTCATGTTGGGAGGAAAGTGATAATCTCACAGACTGGAGCGCCTACTGCTGAACATCTGCAAAGCCAAGGAGCTGATCAATGATTATAGGAAAAACAACCTAAAGACACACACTTCGGTCTAGGTCAGCGGAGCTGAGGTGGAGCAGGTGAACAGTTTCAGGTTCCTGGGAATCTCAGAGAACCTGACATGGTCGTCTCACATCTCCACGCTGGAGAAGAAAGATTTAAAAATATGCCTGTATTTCTTAAGGAGGCTTTAGAAGACCACATTCCCGTGCCAAGTTCTTGTCAGCTTTTACAGAGGAGCAACAGAAAGTATCCTGACTGGAAACATCACTAACATGGGATGTGCACGGCCCAGGACCAGAGGGCTCTGCAGCGGGTGATTCAAACTGCTCAGAAGATCATTGGCACCATCTCCTGAGCATCAGTGATATCGGTGAGGTGCCTGCAGAGCCCAAAGGATACTAAAGGACAGTACCCACCCAGCCACAGCCTGGTCACCCTGCTGTCTTCTGGGAAGAGATATAGAAGTTTCTGCTGCCGCACCACCAGACTGCAGAGCAGCTTTTTCCCCCAAGCTATCAGACTTCAACTCAAATTCATCCTCAGCACTGCACCGTGTAATATAGTTTATTATTTCTATAACTATACTAGTGTATATAATTTTTTTGTATATAATGTTTGCTTTTGTGAATAGCATAAAGGACACTACAATTCAATCTCATTATACAACTGTGTATTGTAAAATGGTAAATAAATCTACATTGTACCTTCTATGTTTATTATTATCCAACATTGGATTAACACTGCTCTGAAATGCTTGTTTGATGGATAAAATTCATTAGGATGTGAATAAATTGGAATCGTTCTAACAGACTAATCAATTAAAATGCACTGCAAAGAATCAGAAAATTATGATTTTCTTAGAGCAGGATTAAGAGGTTGTGGAACAGGAGATTCTTCTCCTTTCATACCTTTCAACAGACCTTTGGAACAATGAGGAAAACAGCAAAAAGTGGGATAGGTAGAACAGAAAGACAGTCATGAGACAGATGGATAACCAGACATGTTAAATAGACAGATCCTGAAAAGGAGGTCTAACTATGACGGTGTAAAAAGATGAGGAACATTTACATATCTTTGCTGAGAGTGAATACATTTAAATCATCATAATCCTAATGACACAAAACAAATAAAGTCAAATATTTGTTATTTTTCCTTATTGATATGAGAAAAGGGCAGCATAGCATGTGTCAGGGCTTCTTACAACTTGGGTCTTGTTTTGTAGTTTTATCCATCACTTTTATTAGTAATAATGACTCTAGAGTTACCAATTGCTGAGATATGTGAACACAGGGACTTCACCACTTAGTTTTTACAGGGCAAGAAACACAGGCAGTCAGACAATCAGACAGATTGTAACAGCTAATTACTACACATTAGACAATTCCACGCCTCATGATTTACATCATACAATATCAACGTTCATGTCTGGTAGTAGATGAGCCGAACCGTTTATCCAGATTATTCTATATGGAGGTCCAACTGAATGTGAGCTCATCTGAAATGTCACTTATAATCCCTTCATTGCACAGGAAAACTGTGTGCACGGCTACTTTAAGTACAGCAGGTAGCTGTTGAAGCAGGAACTGGGTCTGTAAACTGTGATGGATATTTACAGTGGATATTTTGAGTAACATTTTTACTCTTCACCTTTTGTTTTCTCTTCTAAATAAATTTGGCTGACCCATAGGTTTGTTTACAGCCTGTATGATGGCTGTGACCCATCTGACTTAAGTGATGTTGCCGTGTTCCCAGATCTGAGCAATTAACTCGTACGTATTAACTAGTTTGTACAATGCTGATGACCAACTATGAAGATAGAAAATAAAAACCCATGTTGTAATAGATTGGATTTTATTAACTACATTATAAAATCCCATGCGTTTTTCATGTGGGATTAAAAGTATAGCTGTTTTTATTACGAGTTGTTTAATTCTTCCCTCTAAAACTCGACAGAATGCAAAACAAGATGGAGTAAACGGGAGAGGCTTTGCATCAAGGAAATTCCTGATGTTTTTACTATGAAGAATTTTTCTACCTTTGAGATTCATGGATCAAAGGTCATAGCTTTTTTTTGGGTGGATCTTTGAAGCGTTTGTTCAGTCTTTTGTCCTCCAAATGCTCTCCAGTTGTTTGTTGCCTAAATCAGTTACTTAAGGGTGTCAAATTGTGCCAAACATAGATCGTCCTGCCCCTCTGCCCTCACTACAAACCCAACTGATTTCCCTCATCTCTCGCCCCATGCACCTGGTGGCGGATGCTTTGTCAGCCCGCAGAGAAAAAACAATGCAATTAACCTCTAGAAGGGTGAAAAACATCTTAGTGCCTTAGCTGGGACAAAAAAAGAGCTCCCATATAGTTCACATGAACTGCTTTCTGGGATCACTACGTCTCCTTGTGGAACAGCTGATCCGTCGAGAGACTGATGTGGGTGACAGATGCTTCTTTGTCAGTTGATTACGCCAGCTCCACATCTGGCTACATAACTCCTTTTATGACAGTTTTGCTGCTTTTTTATATTGGGCTCTGTTTTAGACTAGATTGTTTCCACCCTTCACAGGTAGGCTCACACCTTTCATCGACCAACACTGTATTGACGTTGCACTACTTTAAGGCCCCCTGACCTGTAGTGATCCAACCCTGACTGTAACTCCTAGAGTTTATACAGTATTCCTGTTCAGATTATGCCTTGATTTAATACCCACTACCCTGTGCATTCTGTGTTTTCAACTGTGAGGTCAGGTAATTAGGTTACAGTCTGCTGTAGTTGTTCCAGCTGTTCCAACTCCCTTATTCCAGTTGTCTTTGCTCTTTTAAAGTTGTAGTCTATGTCAAATAAATGTTTCATTCTTAATGATCTAAATACATTCCATAACCTTAATTTCTTATTCCTTATTGAGACATGGCTTATGCCTGGGGAGTTTCTCACCTCTAGTGGAGTTCTGCCAGCCCAGTTATATTATATGGGGGTATTGCAGCTTTCAGTTTTGGTTCTTTTAACATTTTTGAAATCATAACTAATAATCAACTTTTCTCTCTACACGGCCCTCAGTCAAGCTGATCTAAATCTTTATAGTTGGTTTAAGCAGCCAGTTTACTGAAGTAGCCGGTGGTCCCACATTACCCCTGTTCTTGCATAGGTCCACTGGCTTCCTGTAAAATTCTGAATCTTCAAGACCCTGTTGTTGTTGTACATATAAAGCACTGGATGGCGTTGCATTTCCGTTGCAGATACATCAGTTAAGTTACATAAGTAAGTTAAGTTACATAATTTCTTACATAAGTTACACTTACGTATGTAAGTTAAAATAAATCGACGTTGATGACATTTTTTTCTCTGACATTCCTGTGTAAAATGACACAGCATCTCTGCAAAATATAAGTAAGTAGATATAAAAAAAAGAGTGCACAGTTTTCTGTGTACCAAGTATGCAAAAACAGAACATTTATCTCCAGGATATTTTGGGATTAATCTGTATGTATCAGTTTTGAGTCTAAAATATTAAAAGCCTGTTTGAAGATTTCCCCAGGACTGGCAACTAGCATAGTTACAATACACTTATTTGCCTTCTTTAAACTAGTGAGATGAGAAGATTGATATGGACCTCATGAAGTGCTTAGACTTGCTCAGCATAAATACTGGAGGCAGGAAGAAACAGATAAATCTAACAAATAAAGCTGAATGCTGACATTCCTGTACATAAACAGAAATTTTAAATTATCAATATGTGGTTTATCAAAACTTTTGCTAACCAACCGTATCTGGAAACCCTTGCTATAGCTTAAGACACAAAAGTACTTGAATGGATAAACTGTTGTTATAACAATAAATAGTTTCAATATGTTACTACCTAGCTTGCGATTTTTCTCTGGATTTTGTTTTGTAGCCACATACGTATTTGAATAAAATGTCTTTTGGAGGATTAGTTGCAAAAAACATATATACTAACAAATGCATGGCCCCATCCTTTACTGTATATCTGTGTGTGTCACTTGGATGTCATGTTACCATTATAGTACCAGAACGCTCCGGAGCCAGGGAGCCCCAGGTCTGCACATTGGTTGATTGGATTGACAGTTTGACACCCATAAAGGAACAGAAGTCTGGCACTGCATTCTGTCCATCTCTCTGCTAATCATATTTAACACCATGGTGTCAGCTACTTTCTGCGATGTCTCCTCTGTCAATCACTTTGTTCAAAAAGTGTTCCAATCGAACGCAGGTCAGAATGAAAACTCTACACCCTTTGCAGACTGACCAAAAATCAGGCAGATTGCCTTGTTTTCATCTCCCTCAAATAAGCTACACCTTCTACAACCTTGTTCTCCCAAGCTCAGGGGAGACATCTGTTCCCCCTGACATGCACAGGTCAAGAGGGATGCCGTGCCAAAACCAAAGTACCTGTTCTCATTTTCGTTCCTGTCAGGGACAGATGACCCATTTCAGCGTGGGGGAGAGAGAGGCACGAGAAGTGAGGAAAAAGAGGAAGGAAGTGTAGGGAAAGAAAGAAGAGGGAACGACAAGCTCCACATGATACATGCATGTAAATCCTTGCATACACGTCAACACAAACACACACACACACACACACACACACACACAGAGCTGAGTGGACACCAGGGATGGAGTCTGGGACAGAATAAGAGTAAAGCAATGACCTTGACTGTGAGAAAGGGGTTGGATATTAATGTTAGACAAAAAAATAAAATCAGGACCTCACACACTGGATCTGGATTAATCACACACGACAGCACAGCACCACTCAGGTGATAATAAATGCTGGTCTCACCTCTATTGCACATTCATATAGAGCAATCTCATGAATTTTAATGACATCAGATGTACTGCTGTGTCAGACTGCAATTTCACACTTTTAAAAGCATTTGACACTAAAGCAGAGCTACATAATGATGATACAGTATCTGTGTATGTAAATTCCATAGTGCTTTACATATGTGTAACGTAGATAGTCTGAATTCTAGAAAAGACAGGATCCTTGCTGTTCTGTGTTTTGATATGTAGATATGAATACTGTTGTCTTTTTATCAGTTGGATCCAAAGTCAGTAAAAACATTCAGAGGCTTTTTCTCCGAATACAGTTTCTACAATTACAGGTAAAAGTTTTAGCGCCACTCTCACGCAGCTGAGTTAGAACATGTAGATTTAGGATTTAAAAAGCAGGTTAAATTCCACATGTTTTAGTCAAAGTGGACAGATAGAGAAAAAGACAGACTCATTCTTCATAAAGAAGAATGCAGCCACAATCAGTGGGACCTGGAAGGAGCAAAAGACACATCATTTAACAAGACATACTGAACAGACACATTTTACATTATATACGATACATCCTCACATTACATTTCCAGTTATTCTGATAAAAGTCCAATGCAAAGTATGTGCCTACTTTACATGACAAAGATGGTGTTTGGATGGCAGTTTGAACACTGGATAGCAGAATGGCATTGTGCCTTCGTTGCTTGGTTGCCAATTCCACAATACAGGTGTTATAATAATATTTTTGTTTCTGTTTTCACACAACCCCACTGTTATAAAATAGTAAGCTGACTGCAGGTCATTAATGCTAACTAAGTAACAATGGTTCCTGGGCAGCTTTATGACATTAAGTCATTTGAGGTAGAAAACAATATCTTTAAGAGAAATATGTTTTCAAATATATCTATGTTAGTGTTGTAAATCTCTCTACAATTGTAAGCACACCTGTTGGACTAATCCATCGAGGCTGGCACCACTGTGCCTTAAAACACCTTTATAAGAAGTGTTTCAAAGATGAAAACCCTCCTCTGTGCTTGCATGACTTGCTTGTGACAATGCTGCATCTGGTACCAGTAATAGAGGGCTTTCTAAACATTGAGCGTTGAGAAACATTTGAGCAACCCGTGCCAGCGTGCAAAAGATCTTCTATCTGCTACAATAACCTGAAGGAAATGGTACCATCCCAGTTAGTCAACGGGGGCTCTAAGCTTTCCTAGACTGTCAATAAATAGCAGGTTGTTGTGATTTGGTTGTTGAAGGATATAATGTTTTACTGAATTGTTTCCTGTTTAGTCCCATAGTGAATATTTGCTTGTATGTTAAAGTAAGCCACATTATGTAACCTTTAGCGTGTCATTTTTTATTAAACCCCTTACATTACTATACTATATACATAACTGATTGAAATGTATTTTTATTTGCCACACACAGACTGCAGCTGTATCTCACAGCCTCTGCTACAGTAGCTAATACCATAGTCTTTATACAGTATTGACATGAGACGTGTTACAATATTCAATTTACCACTAATTCCTTCAACCACTAAAAACTTCATATTTACTTCAAATCATTTCAAGGGCCTGTTTGATTATACTTACTGGTAATCAAAGGATCCCTCCTGGTCTTTCTGATCTACTGGGTCCAAGGGAAGATCTTTTTTGTCACGGACTGAGGAGAGAAGCACAAAAGGAAAATTTTCAGCATCTTGCTGAGAACTCAACTGATGTCATGGTTAGATTTGATACACAAAACCATTCACACGTTGAGGTGTCCTTGGAGTTAGTTTTAACACGAAATCCTTCTGTTAGTCCTCATCTGTAAATTTAGTACCATTTATTTGTCTTCAGCCTTAATTTATTAAAATGTTAACTAACACTGTGTCCCAAGTCCATACTTATCCCTTAATACTATGTGCATAAACTGATACTATAAAGCAAAGAAATTGAAATATAACATGGCTAATTACAGAAATATTTGGAGTTCATTAACAGTCAAAACCTCTAAGACATATTTGAATGCAATGATATTTTCTTCTCTTCATTACTGCATGTCATGATAGTCTCAGGCAAACGACGACTGTCTTAAAACCTATTAGTTAATTCATAAACAAGGAAATCACAACAGTATCATCATAGTGATATACTTGTTAAATGTTATAACGGTAAGCCTTGACAACTGAATTTTGTAGTCAGATGTCTGTTAGTGCATAAGATAATCCATAATGCTGCTCCTCCACCGATTTTTATTCAGCTCCTCTCTGAGCAAATGAGCAGAGCCTCAAGGTCTGCTTCAAGGGGAGATTGTAGCATCTCTAAATGAGGCTGCGCCTTTGCACAATCTGCTTTAAAAAAGCTACATCTAGTCAACTCTTTGAGACGAATCTATTTTGTATGTTGATGTAAATACATTTAAAAAACTAAACAAGTAGTTGTCAACGGTTCCTGAGGAGGTTTCAGGGGGTCCCCAATAAAAAGGGAATAATTCATTTTCACTATAATTCCATCCATAAGCAACATGACAGAATGAGCGACTATTTTGGTAATAAAACATCTAACAGCAAATATCCTATCAGATAGGGGACTCTGAGACAAAATCAAATGGGGGCCCATGTTTTATTTGTGTCAGCTTAGAGGTCCTCGACGTGAAAAAGTTTGAAAACCACTGAACTAAACAAATGTGGACAGTGCACTACTTTAGCAGTTTGTGAAAGAAATGAATGTAGGATCTACAGATGTATCATTTGCACCAACAAGGATGCAGTACAAGATGCTTGCAGAAAGACATAAATTAAATATATGAACACTTAAAAATTTGAAAAATGTCTTTAATTTTAGACTTTCTTTTATGTTTTCTGAGTTGCTCCCCCAGTGATTCAAATATAATATAGTATGCATTTGGAACACAGTGCACTTTTTACTTACAAGACTTACAAGTTTTAGTTGCAGCTGTAACATTGGGTTGGGTTTGTAAGGTGTCAGTGCTTCAGTCAGTCCTGAAAACAAGTTTTACTGCCAGTTTATGTGTAAGAACTCCTCTCATTATTCTTTTTCTGTCTGTCACTGTTCTGTTTTCATCCTTTTCTGACAGGATTTTGAGTTCATCACTGGGTGTTAGTTCTTAACTTTCACAGCATCACAGTTCAGCACCTACCTAGATATTTTTCGAAACCAGTCATGCAACCACCACCTAGACATTACAGAAACTGCAAAACATTAACATAACACTAATTTCTTTTGTACCAAACCATTAAATTATCACATACTATAGATTAGCATCAATGACGCATGAAAAGTGTTTTCATTTTTGTCTGAACAAGACAAGATTTTTTTTAAATGCATAGGCCTAATTATTTAGGAGTAATAAATAAATTGACTGTGTAATTAGATAGCTTCCACAGTTAAAATAAGAACACTACCGACATTAAAATAATCCTAACTAATTGACCTAGAAGTTCATGAATTTTAACAACTTCTATCAGCAACCAAAGACCTGCAACAGCTTTCTGGAGCAGCTTACAGTGGCTTGTAATAGAGCAAAGTATGAAACAAACTGTACATCTAAAACCTAGATATCACACTAAATGTAACTGATCATATTTCTAAATTAGTACCATAACCACTTAGATACACCTGTGTACATGAGTTCAGGAGAGAAGACAGCTAAGAATCCCAGGCTGTGTCTGAATCCCTGCCTTTTTGCTGGCTTGCTACCACAATGCTGAAGTTTCAAATGTCTGGCATCTCAGTTTAGTAATCACAAACTACTGAGCTCGGAAACAGACATCTAATCAGAGAACTTCAACTTCTGTTGCAGTTTTGGTAACAGAGACTGTTAGAGTTAGAGTTTTGTTGATACTTTTTAACGAAATTCTGTAAATTTCAATCAATTCACTTTTGATTTTGAACAATTTTTTAAGTTTTGTTCCTGATTACAGTGATAAAGTGTTCTGACAATGCAAGCATTTTGAGGCATTTGACATACCAAACTGCCAAAAAAAGTAAATTTGAAATGCAGTATTTATATCCTGTGGCCCTAACATAAGCCATTAATCAACCAATCAATCAAGTTTTATTCTAAGTGCAAAATCACCAAATGGCATGGTCCCAATACACTTTACAAATGCACCAGAATAAAATACACTTAATTTTGTTGAATTATCCAGGATTATCCAGTTCTATCTTAAAAAACATTGAGTTTATTGTTAAAAGAAAGCTTTTAAATGTACAGTGGGAACATACAGTAGCTCCGTCCACTTTTGCTATTAAAGTTCCAATCCAAGCAAAGGCTGGTTAACCTTTGACAGACTGCTCTGTGGGGCTCGGTCCTCTAATGGTTATCAAAGCTGCAGTTTTAGGCCTTACCTGGGTATTTGCCCCCGCGACTCCTCTTGATGAAGCAGACGATGAGGAGGATCAGTATGATGAGGGCGATGGCACACATCAAGCCAATGAACCAGCCTTGAGTGGCTATGTCTACCTGGTCTATGTAGGCTGGTTACATATACAGAACAGACAGAGAGGGACAGGAGAAGAGAGAGAAGAGTGGAGTGTGAGTGTTGAGTGTTGATTTGGACCAAGATGAGTCAGAGCTTATACATTAGACAATCTGTTCTCAGCCCACAACACTCAGCAGAAATCAGCAACTTAGAACCAATATCTCATCGTTTGCTCCCAAGCTCATATCCAGGATGATGTTACATCCCTAACAATAAGATGTTTGTCTTCTATTTGTTTACACAGTGTGTAAATCTTAATCAGAAAAGTGTGGGATACAGAGGTTTGTGGTGTGAACATAAATGTTACTTTCAATACACCAGGATATATTTCAGTAGACCCTGAAAGAATACTAATTCTTTGACAAGTGCCAGAAATTTTAACTTTATAAATTTTACCACTTAATTTGAATAAATGATGACATCAACATTTCCAGTATTTAATTAAAGAGGTGGTATTATGCTTTTTAGAACAGTGTTATTCCTGCGTGTTAGGAATCAAATTTTAATCTCATTGTCCTAAAAGCCGGTTAACCAAAACACGGTTTTATCTCATGTCCATAGCTATCGAACAATACTACATATTGATACCTACTTGATTTGACTTTCAACATTGTTAATACAATGGGGGTTAATTGTGTAGTTCGGATCCATCTCAGTGTTTCCCACAGAATGATAGCATAACTGTGACGCGCGCAGGGAGGGGGGAGGTGGTAATGCAGTCGACATTGACTACCTGACTACCAGCTATATACAGCGCGCTAACCTTGACAACCCAGCTGTAATATTAACATAGCAATCATTATTAGCTAGACTCCTTACACGCTTGCTAGTAACTTTTTTAAGGTGGGTCTCCGACATTGACTGAGTTGTGTTGGGCTGATTTGTGAGGGGCAGCGAATTTACGGGCTAGGTGCAGCTCTGCAAACAAATACAATTTTGTTGTTAAAATTGAAAATCAATATGTGGCTCTCAGCGTTGATATTGTGACACCCTAAATTAATTACTATAAAATTTTAGGTTCTGGGGAATATTTTGGCTTACATGCTTCAACAGAAGACATGAAAATTGCTGTTAGAGTCATTATACTTATTCAATTAAAGTCTCTTACACCATAAATAGAGCTCTGTTTTGTGCTCAGTCAGTGTTTTGCCATTGTTGAACTTCCACAGCTAGCAAACTAGCCATGTCTGGTCAGATAATTAGCAGCACTTGTTGCTGCTTGTTAACACATCATATCTAACAATAGGTTGTGGGGAGCTAGTGTTTGCTTGCCACCTATTACCAAGGTAACAAAGGCTAACTGAAATAGAACCAGACAAGGTGTCAGTACAGTAAACTCACATTTACCATTATATACTGTAAGTGCTAGCAGGCACTGTAATGTTATGCTTTTTATAAAACTGAGTTTAGCAGGTCAAGTTACAATTATAGTTCACACTGGCCAAGTTGGCGGTGCAATAAGCAGTCTGTCACAAACACCAGAGTATACTGTGTGTCTCAAGATTATAAAGATCTTTAGCTGCACTACAGTATATAGCTTTTGGTTATTATTATATTCATTATGTCAATGCAAAGTAATCAAAGAATACCCTAGATGTACATTTTCTTGTCATGTGAACTACCTAAGAGTATTTACTTGTCAGTAAAGAACAAGTTATGTTGAAAGTCACAGGGAGTATGAATATTCACAAATTTCCATCTTCCCACCATAAATTAGATACTGCTCATAAAGCAAGTTGAAGTTTTATGACATCCAAATATAGTGGTGTGTCATATCCCGACTTACTTGAGTTTACCTTAGAAAGAATGCCCATATTGTTAAAGAACAAACCATAATAACTCACTCAGCTGTAGGTTCTGCTACTGACAGACTTGCACCCAGAGTATCCCACCTGGCTGGAACCTCTGGTTCCACCTGGCCAGGTGGGGTCTCACCTGCTTTGGTCTTAAAGGTGACAGATTTGCTGCTGACGCTGTTGAGCTCATGGGAGTAAACCCTCAGATGGTACTTGGTGCCTGCGATCAGATCCGCCACTGTAATTGGGGGCTGTTGTTTCACCGGTACAACTTTCACCGTCTTGTCACCTTGGAGACACAAGAAAGTGGCCAATCACACTCCAGGGGGTGTGGCCTTCGTTCCACAGTAACGGCTGTGCTTACTAGCAAAGGTCACGGCATCATGATACTTTGCAGGGAGAATGCTTTCTCTGAGTGATAGCAGGGTTACTGAAGTGAATTGAGACTGATAACAATGCAGTGCCCATCCCCATCATAAATATTCATTCACCTCTTTACAGTATAGAAGCATATGCACAATGCAATTTAATATTTCTAGCAATTATACCTAATATATGAGGTGCAACTCTTTGAAGCTCACTTCAGCTGACATTCTGGCTCATTTTCCTCTTTTATGGCTCTGAGACTACATTGGCATACAGAAAACTCATCTACAAATGGGGAGTGAGGAAGGAGGAGAGGGGCACAAGAAGTAGGTGTTTCTTCAGGTAACACCACGATACCGTAGACATCAAAGTCTCAAACAACTAAACTACCCCATGAATTGGCCACTGTGCATTATGTTTCCATCGGGTAGGACTGAAATTGACCATTGCAGAACTTTTTTAGTTCTTTGGTAACATTAGGGTCTTGGGTAACAAAGCATTGTTTGTCTCAATTATTCACAGGCCCACACTCATCTCCATGAGGTCAAAACAACAACAGTGACAACGACCTGCGCCTTTCTAGCTGAAAGACATGTCTGTCATGACATGGCCGAGCTATGAGCATGACTCTGAGGTTGCAGTGAGAGGCAGCAGAAGGTGGTGACATCATGCACCATGCTATCAGCTAGTGCACAAGGTTGATGTCATTAACAGAACTCATTCCAAAGCCATGCTTTTAATACCAGTCCTTAAACCAGCCGAACAAACGTAATGCAGAAACAAGAGACAACATGCCGGTCTTTCTTACATACTCAGCCACGGCTGATGTTCCTGCTCGACACCCTCTACTGCAACGACTATTGTTGCTAGTCCTATTGTTATTATTGTTGTTATAATCATTAACATTACGATGGTTACCATTAACACTATTATACATATCTGTACCATTTTTCATTTAGTTTATAGCAACATTACCTTCACTGTCTGTACCTCTGTGTGTATATTGTGTAGGCTGCCCCCCCCCCCTCTCTCTCTCTCACCCCAACCGGTCGAGGCAGATGGCCGCCCACCCTGAGCCATGGTTCTGCTCGAGGTTTCTGCCTCTTAAAAGGAAGTTTTTCCTTGCCTCTGTCGCCTAGTGCTTTGCTCTTGGTGGGAACTGTTGGGCTTCTGTAAATAACATCACAGAGTACGGTCTAGACCTGCTCTTTTATGAAAAGCGCTGTGAGATAACTGTTGTTGTGATTTGGCGCTATATAAATAAAATTGAATTGAATTGAATTGAATATGTTTTACTGTAGATCAAGCTATTGATATATAAATTGATGGGTGGTGGAAATGATAAAACAATGACATTTTAAATTCCATTTCAACATCCAGTTTACATAATTTGTAAAAAGACGATAGTGGTGGTTTAACAAGAAAGAAGCATTTAGCTAAAAAGCTAAACTTTAACTAATTTGACAGTCCACCTCCTTATGTTCCACTGCACTCCTTCATGTTTCAAGAAATCTAATGTCTCACCATTTTCTGGTGAGCAAATGGAGTTCTCAAAGAAGAACAGGGTAAATTCTTAAATAAAAGCTGGCATTCAAATAATAACAGAGGGCTGGAATTACCTGTACTCCAGTAGTCACATGATACATTCAGCATAATGTACATTCCCACAGCACTAATTCCAAATACTGTTCATTCAGTAATTAAGTTCACTTGCCTCTACACTGTTTTGATTTGTGTTAAGCCACTTTCCTACAAAGTGTTCATGCCATTTTTATGTGTATATCATGTGAAAAGACCGGCTCACTTTTACTGCATAATAAGTCTTGTGAGTAATTTTATTCTTATAAATATATAGCTGTGTGACCATGTAGAAATTGTAGTATTTATGGCCACATCCTAAAAATTACTACCATTTCCTTTACTTTTGCTGGGGGGCAGGAAGCAGGCGAAGGGAGGATGATGGGAGGTGGGGGAGTGTCAGGGGCTCCCTGCCACTTAGAGTCAAAGCTTTCAGATTTCACCTTGGAGAATGGGGGATGGGTGGAGACCATTAGATCAACATCATTCCCCCTCTCCTCCCTCCCCTTCTCTTTCTGTTCATATTCAGACATCATTAAGAATTAAAGCCACTGCCCAAATAGGCCACATGAAAAATACATCCTCCCTTCTTTTCATCCTTGATCAAAGATCACAGACTGTTGAATAGGTAGGAAGCAATAACAGAGAAAGTAGTGCTGAACTATACCATGTCAACCACCTCTGTGACTGGAAAAGTAGGGATGATGTGATTTATTAAAGCAGGCTTCAAGAGTGCAAAACACATAATCCAAAGCAAAAACAAGCGATTATGGAAGCGTGGATGGCCCAAAAAGTGACACATTCAAACAGCCATTCATAAAAAGCAAGCGAAACAGCCCATTCACAGTACTGGTCCAACACGAGCCATTTCAAGCCAGGCAGCGTGTTGAAAAGAAACCATTGTGATGGTTAGTATTGACATGATGATGATGATCAACATTTTCCAACAACAAGACCATAGAGAGATAGAAAGAGTCAGACAGACAGCGGTATGTTGTACCTTCTGCTTTTTTAACAAAGTTCAAATGAAAACATCCGCCATTAGGTACAAATATTACATCCTAACATAAAAAGGGTGATAAAAAAACAACAACAGAGCAGAAGCTGCTGCTGCAGTTGAAGTTATGTCTGGTGAATTTATTACACGCACACGCACACGCACACACACACACACACACCCATATACCTAAAAGAAGATATAATTTTTTACCTATGTCCTTGTGTTTCCTCTCCCTCTTATTTTTGTCCTGCCAGCCTTAGAGCTCTCCTTTAAGGTTGTTTTGAAAATCAATGAGGCCACAATTTACCAAAACCCTTGAGTAAGGAATGGTGGGTCTACAAAAACCTGCCATTGAGCTGTAAATGGTGATTATTTCTAGTATTTCCATTATGGAGGGCTTGTAATTGAAATGCATCTAATTAAGATGCAGGGGGGAAACCATGGAGATTTCTGTAAATAAAGACGAACCGAACAGTTATCACACACTGCAATTTAAGATAGTGGGCTAGAGTGCTGTTTTTAGATCAAGTTGTCTTTCACATTCAATCATTTCTCTAATCTTGATCTTTGTCAAACTTAGGAAAAGTTGCTTAATGTGGAAATATACACTCACCTAAAGGATTATTAGGAACACCATACTAATACTGTGTTTGACCCCCTTTCGCCTTCAGAACTGCCTTAATTCTCTACGTGGCATTGATTCAACAAGGTGCTGAAAGCATTCTTTAGAAATGTTGGCCCATATTGATGGATAGCATCTTGCAGTTGATGGAGATTTGTGGGATGCACATCCAGGGCACGAAGCTCCCGTTCCACCACATCCCAAAGATGCTCTATTGGGTTGAGATCTGGTGACTGTGGGGGCCATTTTAGTACAGTGAACTCATTGTCATGTTCAAGAAACCAATTTGAAATGATTGGAGCTTTGTGACATGGTGCATTATCCTGCTGGAAGTAGCCATCAGAGGATGGGTACATGGTGGCCATAAAGGGATGGACATGGTCAGAAACAATGCTCAGGTAGGCCGTGGCATTTAAACCATGCCCAATTGGCACTAAGGGGCCTAAAGTGTGCCAAGAAAACATCCCCCACACCATTACACCACCACCACCAGCCTGCACAGTGGTAACAAGGCATGATGGATCCATGTTCTCATTCTGTTTACGCCAAATTCTGACTCTACCATCTGAATGTCTCAACAGAAATCGAGACTCATCAGACCAGGCAACATTTTTCCAGTCTTCAACTGTCCAATTTTGGTGAGCTCTTGCAAATTGTAGCCTCTTTTTCCTATTTGTAGTGGAGATGAGTGGTACCCGGTGGGGTCTTCTGCTGTTGTAGCCCATCCGCCTCAAGGTTGTGCGTGTTGTGGCTTCACAAATGCTTTGCTGCATACCTCGGTTGTAACGAGTGGTTATTTCAGTCAAAGTTGCTCTTCTATCAGCTTGAATCAGTCGGCCCATTCTCCTCTGACCTCTAGCATCAACAAGGCATTTTCGCCCACAGGACTGCCGCATACTGGATGTTTTTCCCTTTTCACACCATTCTTTGTAAACCCTAGAAATGGTTTTGCGTGAAAATCCCAGTAACTGAGCAGATTGTGAAATACTCAGACCGGCCCGTCTGGCACCAACAACCATGCCACGCTCAAATTTGCTTAAATCACCTTTCTTTCCCATTCTGACATTCAGTTTGGAGTTCAGGAGATTGTCTTGACCAGGACCACACCCCTAAATGCATTGAAGCAACTGCCATGTGATTGGTTGATTAGATAATTGCATTAATAAGATCCTTCAGGTGAGTGTATATATCAGCTCCTTTAAAACTACCTGAGTCAGGGTGGCTTTTTTGCCACAAGGGGGCATGAACTCCACAACAAGCTAGAAATAACATACATTTGGCAAATTGTGGCCTTATAAAGTTGATAGGGCTAACACTGTGAGCTGAAAGATGCAGAAACGCTCCACAGCTGATGGGAACTACAGAGTTGGTGACGACTCTCTCTCTCGCCACAAACAATAAAACTACATCATACCTAGTTATTTGACCCATTGTTCTTATAAAAGATACTGATCAGGTACTGGTCAAGCCAAAATTGTAGAGTGAACTGGATTCTCATTCAACGTCCCAACAATTGAATCCATGTTAGATGTGTTTTGGCTGCTCTCTGAAATAATGCCCTACTCTTTGTACGTAGCATCATCTTCTGACCGTCTTACATTATTTTAATTAAGTCCAGATCTAGCTTTAGGTTTCAATAGCTCAACGTGGGCTTGGTCTGGTTTCTTACTGTCCAGTGTGAACTCTAGCACAAACTCGCTGCTGCCGGCCGGGAAGTTGTGTCTCCAGCTGACGTTAGCGTAGTTACTGTTAGGCTCCACCGTCAGATTCCAGATCTCCCGCCCAGGGGCCACTACACAAGGGTGGAGGGGTCAGGGGTAAAGGGTTAAAGGTCAGGGGCAAGGGGCAGAGAGGGCACAGTTACAACAACCAGACACAGGGCTCCATTTAGACCAATGCATGGTGCTAGCACTAAGGCGCTAAGGGAGTCTTCCAAAAAAAAAAATTGTTATCCTGATCACGGCCCGCTCAAAACCAGAAGTAAATTTAACATGTTCATGTACAGAAAATTCACCCATAAGAAAATCTGAGGATTTTTCGATTCATGAAACGCTTGGTTGTAGTGCTTACTTCTGGTTTAGAGTGGACTCCAATACGAACTGAACCTAAAAAACAACTCTGAAAATCCTCATTACCTGAAACAGGCGACCCTCAACACTCACAAACTGTTGATGGGTACTCTCTTCAAGAGCTTTACATTCTTGACATCCATTTATTTTTTTTTAAAAGTTTGGATTCTCACTTCCTGACCAGGAGGATAGTTGCTGGCTACATGCCAATATGCTGAAATAATTTCCCACTTTTTGTACAGCAGGTACAGCACAGCTTATCAGAATGCAGCCCGGATGTAGTTTCCTGTTTCGTCAGGTGGGAGAAAGCAATCGTCTTTTTATATCCATGAAGTGCCATTCATGGTCAACTAAAACACTAGAAAGACAGTAAAAACCACAATGGGAGCAACATGTACCAAACACGTTCTGATCTCTACGCTTGGTGGTGACCGGCACAGGAGGTGTGGTGGTAGTGGTCGCCTCAGTTGTAGTGGTTGTAGAAGGAGTAGTAGTAGTAATAGTAGTAGTAGGAGTAGTAGAGGTTGTAGTTGTAGGGGTGGTAGAAGTTGAGGTACTAATGGTTGTAGGAGTGATGGTAGTAGGAGGAAGAGGAGCAAGAGGAGGAGCAGTAGGAGTGAAAGCTGAACCCACAGAGGCATCGGTTAGCTCGACTACAAGGAGGTAGGAGAGAGCAAAGGGTTAAAGACAAGGCAGCAGGAACATCAAACAGGTAGAAAGTCAATGAGGCCCGGCGCTAAAACACAAGGAATTCCCCACAAGAAGCTCTCATCCTGAGTCAATAAATGATCCCAGTGTTCATCACACCTCATCTCTGTTGGGATCCTCACACTTCCCTGCATAGACTTAGATTCCAATGCCACCAAGAGGACAAATGCTGATATTACAACGTGACTGTTACATTGTGCTTCTTTGAAAAAGGATGGTAAATAATGTTTGTTATTTTAATTTCATCATGTTTTTTGGCTGCATTTAAAGAGACACTCCACTGGCTTTACAAATAAAGGTATTAGTGTCTAATACAGTGTTTTTTGAATTGACATGACTTTCTAAAGTTGTTGAAAACCCCCCAATGAGATCAGCATCATTACTGTGCTATAAGTTGCATTTTGGGAAAGTGCAGTATTTTCCCCCATACTGCGAACTAAAAAGCATGATATCTCAACCTCTGCTGCTTCCAAGTTTTTTTTTACTTTATGGAAGTTCAATACTACATTTCTGGAGTGCCCCATAAAGTAGTTTTCCTCTCTGGTATTGAGCTAAAAGTTAGGTTTTATTTCTTGAAGGACCTATTTACAGAGTCCTTCACACATTTACAGACACCTCTTTCACACACACCAGTGAGGGGAAAATGCAACACATTTTATGCACATTTCATTCAGCGTCTGTCATTTTAGTCAAAACTGCAATGACAGTCCTTGTATCTGCCTACTTTTCATTTTCTTTTTGACAAATACAGTCATCTGTTCTTCTTGAAGCCTAATCATCACTTGTGAGCCAAGCTTTAAATATGGGCTATTTAGAGGACTTGGCAGAAAAATCAGAGCAGTTGGTGTGGCATCAACCAACCAAAATGTGTCAGTAATGTATCACAAACAGTATCTAGTATCAAAGACTATCAAAACAAAGTCCTGTATGGTCGCATTAAATTCTTTTTCAGGTCATGTTTACCTGATTGACCGATTAGATAGTAAATGATTTAACTTACTTTTACACATTTTAGCCTGTTTTAGACCCAAAAATGGCTGTTTGAATTTAGACAACTGTAAACAATGATTTAAGAAATTTTGCTTCTTTTGTTAATGTTTATATTCCTCAAAGCAGGTGTCAAGAAAATGTTGGTATCTGTAGCAAATCTTAGGAATTAAACTGGCACTGGTATTGAAAAACTGCACCCAGCCCTGGTCTTTACTATTTCTACTTTTGTGACACTATGGTGCCCCCGTGTGGGGGTCAGGCCTCCCTCAGATTGGGAGCCAGCACATTCTTTTCCACTGATGTCCACTTGTTCACTCTTACTGTACCTTGAGCGTGAGGTAATCTCCAGCCAGTGAAGGGTCCCACTGCTGATGCACTCACCCCAGACATTTCCCTCATAAAACAACCCAAAACCCCAGCCAGCATGCTTGTATCACCAGGCTGAATGCCAAGCATACTCTCAACCCACCGTGCGAGGGAAAAAGAAAGAAGGATGGGATGATAGAAACATCAGCAGGTTCAGAAGCCATTACAGCCCAATGAGGTGCCTACCTCAGTTCAGCCCACAGCTTCAAGCCACCTTACCTGTAATCCCCAGTAGATTATGTGTAGCTGACCAGATGAACAGAAGCAATGGATAAAGATGGCAGAGTGACATGACTTTTGAATAAGCTCAGAAGCACGATGACCAAGCCAGTGAGTGAGTGTGCAAGCCAAATGCTGATGGAGTTTTTTATTTGTGATTTCCAGAAAACTCATCAAGTCACATCCTTCATCAAAATGTTTCCCCGTATTGACATTCTGATGCAAGGACAAGCATCTCCTCACGTTATCATGACATTGCATCCAGTGAAAATGACAAAAACGTTTTAGAAACAAGTTACAAGCTACACAATGCTGACTTGTGTCTCATGGCAGACGGGAGGAGGCAGTGATCCTGTGAGATTGTTTTGTAAAGGTGCGCCATCAGGGACTAGCTCAGAAATCAGAGTTTTAAGGTCAATATTAATACAAACGGCTTGAAGGAGGATACAACAGAAGCTGTCAGGGTGTGAGCCCGGATCATGAAGACCATCTGGTAGAAATGTAAACTGCGTGAAATATGTTAGTACGTGATATGTTACATTTTCATATAACTGGGCTGTATATTCCATTCACTAAATGTGTGAATCATAAAAGATACAAGTGTATTCAAAGCCAATGATGACCTGAGCATGTTGAGAGGGCCTCGTCAATCCCTGACAGCACACAACAGCAGACAAACTGCAGCTTTACACACAGGGAAGATGGAGAGATAAGGAGAGGCAGACGAGAGATGAGAAAAAAAAAGAAAAACAAACATAAACAGCAGTTCAGTCCAACAGCAAAAGACATAGACTGATGTGTTTTCATCTCATCATCATTACGAATGTGATGATTTGGGGATGTTTACAGTTGCTAAGACAGAGTAAGAAAAGCTTTCCTTATTGGCTGGGCACCTTGTAAAGGGCTTTGATGATTATTTATGACATTTTGAGATGAATCTACTGTCTGCTGTTAAATTAACTAACACAAATAAAAATTGGATCTTAATCCTCATCAGTCATTTTTTTCCCAGTAAACTATTAAAGCACTCTATTTGTTCATAACTTGCTCATTCTTTTACAAGCACAAAAGTTCATTCTTAAAGTGAAAATTAAAAAACCACCTCGAGGTCCAGCATTCCTCTGAGTTTCCAGCTGTATCACGCAGTCTTGTAATGGAAATGGATCCGACATGCAAGCCAAGCCATGACATAATATAATAATATATAGCATCACTGCTGATCTTGCATGTCAACAGACCCATCTGAGGAAATTTGTGCTAATCCAAATGGGGTTAAAACTAGTTTAGCAACTCCATCTCTGGCCTGCCAGTGTGAGCTGCATGGGGTGGTAGAACTGCGCTTTAGTGAACATAACAATGAAGGAGGACTGCACTGCTGCTTAGTGATAAGATGAACAGATAAAGAGAGAGAAAACATGGAGGATTGGGGTGGGGAAAGGCGACAGGCAGACACACTGTGCTTCTCATTCCCCATTACCTAGACCTGTAGCGTCAGTAAAGTTTTCTGCCAACAAAAGGAAAAAAAGAGAAGGGGAGTCAGGAGAGAGGGGAGAGGTGTAAGAAAGAGAAGGACAACAAGTACGAGAGTGGCTGGAAGGTCGGATATTCTCACTTACCACTAATGGTATCTAACAATGCGATCTGTCCAGGTTTTGAGATCTCTGCCTGTCAAACTATCCAATGGAAAATAGTCCAGATGTAAAGTGTTTACAGAGACGAATGTGGATTACCCAGTACACGGACACACACTGTTTGTGGAAAGAGATTTCACTGTTCAATTTTTCAAATACAATTTTGGTTGCGTGAGCAGCACAAACAAAATTCCATTCACCATTGTATTGTGGTGGACTCAGAAACTTGGACATAAAAAAATTAAACTGCATTGCTAGATACCACCAGAAGTTTTTCCAAATATTGGTGAAGCAACCCTTTAAAATAACCAGGTATACTTTCATTCTTTCATTTCTGACAGTAAAATATCAGCACATTGCTGTACCTTGAATTTATGCAAAAGTTGATAACATGAGTGGCTAGTGGTGGATTCTGATCTTCTGATCTGCTGTGTGTCAGTGTGTTTGTTTGTGTGTGTCACAATGTTGCTGCATTGATAATATCATCCATCAGAGAAAGACCAGTTCTTTCTCCATCTGATACCCTAACAAAGAGATCTGTGTTCGCAAAGGGCTACAACCTCTCTTACTTTCTATTTCTATGTCTCTCTGTCTCTCAGAAACACAGGTTCCAGTAATTCACAATGTAGACACACTATCGAACCAATCTAGTTCCCATCCAGAGACAAAAAGGCTGGAAAGGGTGTAATACATAGACACAAAACAGCAGAGTGAGGGTTCAGAGTCTTGTGTTAGGAAACAAAATGCTAGACACACTGTGTGTAAGGAAATTTTCCAGTAACTCTAATGACAAACTAGGACAGAAACAAATTTGTTGATGCTCTAAAAACTCTTTGAATATTTGTTTCAGGCAAGTTTCAAGTCTGCAAGTTGATTTGTGTTGTGAAATGTCTTAAAAGGATAAAACTAGTGTTACTCTGTATTATTCTTATCGTCCCTCAGTACTTTCCAACGTTCCTATTCTGTGGCAACCCCAAGCCAACTTGTTCCCATTGAAGATGTAAATCTTTAAAAACAGCTCACAAAAATGTAGTGCCATTTCTAAAAAAGGAACAAGATTAAATATTTATGTCAATAATATTTATGCCAATGGCATAAAAGGCACTGAATTCAACAAAGGAGCTTTACGACACAGATGAAGAAGATACAGTATATCAGGCTTTGGATACGCACATAATAAATGTAAATGCTCTGTATAGGACATTTCTAGTCTTTGCAACCACTACATCGCATTCACCATTCACACACTGAGCCTAAGTGCTCAAACAGAAACTAACATTCACTCATACACTGGCGGAACAGCCACCAGGGGCAATTCAGAGTTCAGTATCTTGCCCAAGGACACTTCGACATGCAGCCTGGAGGAGCCGGGGATTGAAGCGCAGACCTTCCGTTAAACCGGAAACCCGCTCTACCTCCTGAGCCACAGCCGTCCTTACTTCTCAAAAGTTTAAATTTATTGTTAGTTTGGGTCTTTTCATGGGATTTATTGACAATATATATAAAGACAAAAGTTATGGTTTGATTCTTTTTTTGGCTCTTTTGAACAAAAAACTAGTCAACTATTTCATTTCTTTCTTTTTTTAACTGAAGTGAAGTGGTTGCATTGAAAACCTTGGTTTCAATGGAGAGTTTTATTGTTTCAGATGCATCTTCAACAACAAGAGGGGCAAGCCTTAACAAGAATACTATTTCTTTGGAGGCACTGAAATTGAGTTTTTTGGCAAACAAATGGTCAAATGTAGAAACGCTCACCTTCATTGGCGAAGTGTGGGGACTCCTCAGCAAAGACCTCCCCTGCTCCCACCTGGGTGAGCGCTGACAGGTAGAATTTGTAGCGGGTAGATCGGTCAGGCAGGCGGAAGGTGAACTCTGTCACATTAGGAAGGAAAGTTTCCACCTGGAGACGACCAACCCTGGAGCCATTGACTACACACAAGCACATTCACAGAAGAATGACAGAGGACAGATGGGTTGGCTTGCTATCAGATTATTCACATATCACATGAAATGGAAATAGTGCTAGCCTTTTAACTATGAGCTTCCTCCTCACAGTTATTCCTTCTGACCAACAACATTTTACTAAACTTCTAGCTATTACCCAAACTTGAAATGATGAAACAAAGCTAATGTCTAAAGGCTCACCCACACTTATACAGCTCATACTGATGAAGCAAGTTAAAGAAAGCTTTCTGTCTGAAGGTTTGAAAGTTTGCATGTATGTGTGGGAATTATTAAGTTTTGGACAAATCAGAAAAGCTCACCTGTTTGGTACCTGAGCTGGTATCCAATCAGAATGCCATTGGGCTCAAGAGGTTTGTCCCATTCCAAGTGGATTGTGTCAAAATTTCTCCGGTTAATCCTGAAGAACCTTGGCGCATCCGGCACTGCCAACACACACACACACACAAAATCCCACAAACAGTAAGTAAAGTAAAGAGAAGAGAAGAGGATAAGGACAGAGGGGAAATCTCTACTTCCATAGTGCCAAAATATCTCTCAAAATGCAAAGTCAATGCTTTTTCCTGACAAGACATTATGGTCTCAAAAGCAAATTTTACTTTTAAAGTGCAATAATATGCTACCTTTGGCTCAGAACACTTTTGTGAAACTACATGCGATGTCAGCCTCTCTTGGATGTAATGTTTTAGATGTGAGGGCTGCGTCCTCACCTCCCTCCTTGGTGGTGAATTCCACCGTGTTGCTGGGTGGACTTTCAAAGCGGTTGTTGGCCACAACCATGAACATCTTGTATTTAGAGTAGGGCACCAGGTCACTGAGAATGCCAGACGGCTCGGCCATGGTGCTGTAGAAACCTGTGGTCTTCTTCTTTTTACTGACCACCAGACCCGGAACCAGACTGGACTCACGCCAGTAGTACAGCTGCGAGGTAGAAGGGGAAAGGAGAGGTAAAAAAAAGGGCGGAGGAGGGTGAGAAATTGAGAATTAGTCTATTTTTAGACCAACTCTTTAATCAGTTCTCATTAGAGAAATACAGCCAGGCTCACTCTGTACTCCTTGAACTCTCCCTGCAAAGAGTTTAGGTCCACAGGCTTCCAGTGGATGTTAGCCTTGGTGTTGTCAACCTTTGACACCCGCAGGTCAGTGGGAGCATCGGTGGGCTCTGAACACACAAAAAGGGGCACAGTATGTGTGAATAGTCGAAATACTTTGTTTTTGTTTATGCAGGAATTCCCTCAGAGATGCCCTTTTTGCTTTGCAGAAATTGCGCTAGTGACTTCAAAAAGTTTTTATCAGCCTGAAAAGCATCAACACAAAAGATCAACCTGCTTTAGTCCAAAAATCTATGGTGTCTTTGACAAGCTGATATCTAGTGTGTATCTACTTACTGTCCTCTCCAGAGTATCCAATGACCACGTTGGACTCAGGTCCTGGTCCAAACTCATTCCTGGCCTGGATTTTGATCTCATAAGGCACGTAGGTTTCTGTGTTGTGGATAACATGTTTAGACCCCACCGTGGTCATATTACTCCACTCCTCTCCCAAATCCTTCCGTCTCCACCACACGTTGTAGTGCAGGTTTGGGCCATTTCTTTCTAGATCAAGCAAAGGCTGGAAAAAACAAAAGTAAAGTATGTAAGATTCTTTTTATATATTTCATTTTGCCTGTTCAAATTTTTTTTGTGTATATGTAAGATGTGAAAACATATGAGAAGAAAACTCATATCATACCCAATTAGCCAAGGCCAAATTATTTGGCAAAAATTTAAGTAATAGTTTTTTTTCTCTGAAAAAACCTTTTTTATCTTACTCACATACTATACTACTGCTACTGTTACTACTGTCTTTAGGCTACTGGATTTTATTTTCACAGTTCCATTCATGATCATGATAAAGAGTACACACACTCTTTGTGTTATTGTCAGTCTTTATAATTGCATAACAGACAATAAATTCCACAGGAGTCTTACAAATTGTAATTTCCTGCTTCATACATGTCTTACCTCCCAGGTGATCTCCATATTGTCCTTCTTGGAGCCCCATCCTCGTAGACCTCTGGGAATGGCATCTGGGGCTTGTTTTAACATAACAAAATTCACTCAGATTGGGCAACATCAACTCCAACATACACCATGTCTGCAGCTTAAAACCGGAACCTGAGTCTGTACTAATTTTAAGTAAGGAACTACAAACTACACAGCCAACCCATGTGACTATTTCATAGGGGCTCCCCAAGTGTTTAGAGTAAGTGTGTAGTGTAAGTTTTTTTCAGTAGCCCGCGATTAAAATGTTTCATTTATTTATTTTTATATCCCCCCCAAGTGTTTATTTTAGAGTAACCAATTAATTTCCTAGCAAGGATGTATTATTAGAGCACAATAATTGTTACTTTATTTTACATCTACCATGGAGATTTTTTCCCCTGCATCCACGAGCAAGTGGCCCCAGCTGGGAGACAACAACCTGGTGTGAAGGAATATTCCTTCTTCAGCAGTAATGTCACACAGGATTTCCCCAAGGTCACATTAGGGGCATTTGCTGAGCAAGCCAAATGTGACAGCCTGTGGCTCTCCAAAACAACTCAATCTGTCTCTCCTCTCTGTCTGTTCTGTCCATCTCCTGGGTAACCCATGGTCAAGATTATCTTTATCAGACAGAAAGACATTCTGACACTTGCCCTACTTCAAAAAGGTCCAAACTGTTCCAAAAAAATGTAGGTAAGTAGTCGAAGCCCTTAGTCAGCTAAATCATAATTTTCATGTAAAGTACATGAAATGTTCCTAATTTGAAGGCAGGAAAAGTCACGCGTCTTCAAACACACAAAACCATATTATTTTGGACGAGCGTGTGTGGTGATTCTCACCAGCTCCACTGGTCTTGTATCGTGGCGAGGGGGCACTGGGCTGACTCTGACCCACTGCGTTAATGGCGATGACCCTGAACTGGTAGTTGACGAATGGGGCGAGCTGTAGAATGACTGAGTTGAGGTCTCCGGGGTAAGTGGACAGGTCCTGCCACCTGCCTGGCTCCCAGCGGTCCTCCTCAAACTGGACCAAGAATTCTGCAGAGACATATAACTGGCTTGAGAAAAAGGACGTCCACTTAGTGAAATGTGAAGGGGTTCAGTGGGTTTTCTAGGTTTTCTAGGTCTTCAGTAATTCCTGTATAATGTCATTTTAGCTCCTCATCTCCACTTTAGTTTGTTTAATGACCATATTGCATTAATTTTACAAACCTTCCTATAAATACAGATTATAAGATTAATAATTAGATTTTATGAGTAATAGGCACCCAAATCATATTTCTCTGATGGATTATAATTATTACTGAAGCAATTAGGTACATTTTAATGACTCTTTCTATTTCAGCATCCCTTCATTATCAGTTCTTTCCTGTGCTTGGCGACCCGAGACAAACTCTAACCCTTCACCTTTTAGCCTTTACTTTTCCAGGATATGTCCTGGAGAGGTGGGAGAATACAACCATGTGAAGAGTGCATCTATACTGACGTGTGATTGTGCTCCTGTGGTCGTTTCCGGGGATCCAGGTGAGGCGAACGCTGCGGGCTGCTGGGTCAGATAGGTCCAGATCCATGGGAGGGTCTGGACGGTCTGCAGAGAAACAGGGAATAACCTGACCTCAGATGTGGCAAACACACACTGTACTGGACATACAAGAATAGGCATGCTGAAACACACCTGTCACATATACTGTACAATGCCATTTATTGTCATAATCAGTCCTTCAAGCTTATGGTTAAAATATACTTTTTTTGTTATAACACCCCGCATCACCTCTACATCCCCTCCCAGTTCACTGCTGGTGCTTTGAAACAGTTCACAGTTGAATGTAAAAATCAACAGTTTCTCATGTTTCAGGAAATTGTAAATATATGGAGAAGAAAATGAGGAAAAATGAGAAAAACTACTCTACTAATTACAAAAACAAACAACTTGATGATGATGAGTAGCAAATATTGCAACAAACTGGACATTATGAATGATCTGGACAAACATTTTCAGACTTAGTATGAGATTAAATTACTTGACAGCATGAATTGTGGTGCATGCATATAAAAATCCATTCTGAATTTTAAAAGGTCTTTCCTCTCAAAAAGAATCTTTGTAATATAATAAAATAATATTCATTATAAAAGTATAATATAAATCTTATATTATAAAACAGGCACACGTTGATATAGAGGTAGAGAACAAGTAAAAAAGTAAAACAATAAAAAGACAAAATAAACAGGGAAGAAAACTATGACAGGAAAGAAAAGAAAAACAAAGATTTCCATCCGAGCCGTGTGTTACCTGGAGGCAAGGCACTAGAGACTGAGGGGTTGAGGGAGGCTTCCTCTGTGGGGCAGGGTCAAGGAGCAGGAAGTAGGTATAAAGGTTAGAGTTTGCAGGTTAGTCTACCAGCCAGTCGACAGCAAGCGAGAACAACTGTTAATTTGTCACTTTCTATTAACATCAAGTCAGCTTCACTAAGCTCCAGTTTGAGCCGCTCATGCAAGCATTGTTTTACAGATGAGACTTTGGCATTGATAAATGAGTCACAGATATTGAGCCAGTTTTCCTCAAAAAGTAAACTTTGGAGAACCCAGCAACTCAATTGAGAGTAATATTTTCTGAAGACATGTCAGCGACATGTCTGTTTTATGATGTTCACATTTTTTTTTTTTTTTTTACCAAACTTCCTTTGACTCACTGTCATTAATGCTAAAGTATCACATGTCAAAACAATGGTCACATAGGATGTCCAAACTGAGTGTACAGCTTCGCTACAGCACTTTCTTCACAGCACTACAGTGTCTCAATATGCTACATGCAAATAGCTGAATCAATGGGAGCAGAGTTACTGTAAAGTTAGCCAGCTAAGTATTTTAGTAAACTACAGTAAAACATGCGAGGTTTCCATTTGAAGGCATAGAGCTGAAAAATAGTACAGTGTCAAGACATTTGAAAAAGAAATCACCACCAACAAAAATAGTTTAAAATTAATAGTGAGTGTGGGCTTGTTTTACTATATTCGTGGAGTACAAAAAACAGGATTCCACTATACTTGTGGGGTCCGACAGCTTTGTGGGAACCAAAATGCTGGAGTTTCAAGGCTTTTTGAGGGTCAAGATTTGGTTTTAGGGTTCAGATTAGAATTAGGTTAAGGTCAGGGAAGTAGTTGTCATGGTTAAGGTTAGAGTAAGGGGCTAGGGAATGCATTATGTCAATGATGGGTCCCCATGAAGAGGTGCCACAAGGCTATATGTGTGTGTGTATGTGTTTAGTCTTAAGAAAAGAAGCTCTTGCAAACTGCTCTTGCTCAGCATTACAATTTATTTATCATATTAACGTTTCAGTCCCTTCATTAAGGCTGGTGTTTTAAACACAATAGGCTGGTGTTTTCATTCATCAGATTAGCAATTTAAGTAAATATTCTTGTAGATAGACTTTATTATGTCATATTGTCTCACATGTTCCTGTTTTTCTTTAAATTTTCTTATATGTTGAAAACAATGATTGTACATTGTGCATATGTCGCTGTCAATTACTGAGAGACACTCCAACAGGATAGCTCCTGCACCTGAGATAGTTGGTTGTGTGAATTTCTCCTTTGAAAAAAAGTCACAACATTTAACTGGCAGCTGTAGTTAATAGCTAAAGGTTTTACATACACAAATTGATACTGTGTGATAGATTAGTTAAAATTACAAAAAGATACAGTGACATATTAGGGTTTGGAGAACTTTTTATGCACAACTCTTTTGTATATTCAGTTTAAATATGTAATTTGTTCCAGCACTGTTCTGTATGCGAGGGTACCTAACACAGTGAGGCGGGCTGAGGCTGAGTCCTGGTCTATCTCAGATTTAACAGTGCAGGTGTACGTTCCCTCATCGCCCTCATTCACATTGGGAATGGTCAGCGAGTCCTCGTCTTTCCTCAGCCTGGGTGACAAACAGAAAGAAAGGATTGGTTGTTATACATTGAGCTACTGTATGTTCCTGTTGGATGCATTAACTCTTGGAGTTGACTTGTGATTACGTTGGTATTTCAATATTAATTTCCTTATTTCCAAATCAATATACCCCACCATGTATACAACATGAAATACTGGTATGTAAGGCAATCTTCCTTACAGTTGACTTTAAATATACTAATGTCTCACAAAAGGATGTGTTTATATGCCATCACTGGACTTGTGTTACCCATATTACCCTGCCATTCAGTATAGCCCACCATGTAACTGTACAACAAAAATTACATTTATTAATGCTATAGCTGTCTGAATTACAGCAGTAAATGAAAATGACTAAAAGGCAACTATAATTGTCAATGTAATTAAAAATAAAAAATCAACTTCACAGCTGTTTAGGTGTTTCTCTAGAAAACCCCATTTTTGGGTGGGGCAACTGTGACATGAGCCACGTTATAGAGGTAGTGTGGTGAGAAGGTTAAGTGAAAAAATAAAATCTCAATATTTCACTTAATCACAGACAAACCAGAGACTAATGCTCCATGAATATGCATTTTCTTAAATAAAGGGGTATGCAGTAAACAAACATTTACTCACGTTAAAATGATACCTTTGCTTAGAAGAGATTTTTTCTCTATTAAAACACTGATGTTTTAGGGTCAGTGTAGGTGCTGTTACCTCCATCCCAGGTAGAGAGGCTTGTCATCCTTTGTCCAGGCCACAGTAATGGGTAGGCTGGGATCTGACTTCACCTTACAGTCAAAGCGAGCCGTGGAGCCCCTGATGGCTGTCTGGTGCTCTGGGGCGCGGACTATTCCAGTTGGCTCTGAGTTGGAGTGAGGTGGAAGAGGAACCCATACACACACGCACATGCTACATGAACTTGCAAATTTAGATGAAAATCAGTGAAAGGTGAACATGTGTCTGATGACTGACACCGTAGAGTTGGATGTTACGCAATCATTTCCAAAAAGCTCTCTCACACCAATATACTATTTACTTACTTTATTTGCAATCATAGCTCCTAAAACTCTTTCTTTTATTGTTTAAGCAAGTGAACAAAATCTGCCCTGGGCAATCTCCTAAAAATAAATCCATACAGAATATATTTGTGCATTTACAAGTGCATTTTATATAAAATGGAATGGTACCAGTGTTAAAGTTTAGTCCTTTGTCCACTCCAACACCCCATCCTCCTCTGTACACCTTTAGTGCAGCATAAGAACAATTGGGGGGAGGGGCTAAAGATGATCATCTCTTTTTGCTATTTATCTTAAAATTAGCCATACCAATATAAACCGCGCTACTGCTGAATGACTGAAGCTAAGCATTTTTGGGCTTAGCCAGTAGCTGGATGGGAGACCTCCTGGGGAAACTAAGTTGTTGCAGGAAGAGGTGTTGGGGGGGCATTCTAGCCTCTGGTCCTAATAATAAAATCCCAGTGCAGTGATGGGGACACTGTGCTGTAGGAGCTGCCGTCCTTCAGCTGAGACGTTAAACTGAGGTCCTGACTCATTGTGGTCATTAAAGATCCCATGGCACTTGTCGCAAAGAGTAGGGGGTTACCCGGTGTCATGGCAAAATTCCCTACCTGTCTTTCACCATCTGGCCATCTAATCATCCCCTGTGGTAATTGGCTCAATGTTTCTCTCCCTCTCTGCCTCAAGCTGATGTGTGGTGAGCGTTCTGGCGCTAAATGGCTGCCGTGCATCACCCAGGTGGGTGCCACACATTGGTGGTGGTTGAGGTGAGCCACCCCCACTTCACTGTGAAGCGCTTTGAGTTTCCATGATAAAGCGCTATATAAATGTAATGCATCATAATTATTATTATTATTATTAAATGAAAAGTTACATCATCACCTTGGACCAGATTAGTTCACCTGTTTTAATTTTTTTCAGTTCAGTTCCACACTGAATGCTAGGATTGATCTTTTTGTAGTGCAATGTATTAAACAGAAGATAAGGCACTTTAATTAAAGGCACAAGAGATTTGAATATAATGTAACAGCACAATCTATTTGGCACAAGGAAAGAAAATCATATCATTTTTCACATATTTCATCTGACATGAAATGGGAATATAAACCCATGAACCCTGTTGGAAGTGGTTTTTGTACATGTAGACTGCACATCATACCTTGTGACTCCATATTAACACGTCACTGTGTGGTTGCAAGATGATTACTTAGTTTTTACATTTGTTGTGAGTTTGGATGCTGAGTAATAACAGGAGTGCAGCAGTGATGTAATGTCTGACCTTTGACCTCCAGGCGGACCTGGTTCTCTGCTGTGCCCAGGATGCTGTTGGCCACACAGGTGTAGGTGCCCTCGTCTTCTACTCTGGCCCGTTTGATCTCTAGAGTGCCGTTGATGTAAACACGGTACTGACCGCCGTCCAGCCCACTGCCCTGTCCATTCTTAAACCTGTACACATAGAAAAAACATATAGGCATGGCTAAAAAAAACTGAAACTATTAACTAGTAAATTCAACAACAGTATAGGTTTATGAAATCAGCTTCTTGCTCAATGACACATGGATGTAAGATTTCAGAGGATAATGCCCAAACCAGTATTTTTAAAATTAAGTAAATAAAGAAACATTAGATGCTCACCAGCGTAACTCTGGTAGGGGGGAACCAAAGAAAGGACAATCCAGGAAGGTGCGGTTGTTCTCGATGACTTTAATTAGCTGGTTTTTAGGGCCAAGCATCCTCGGAGGCATATCTGCAAAGACAGGGTGGATCACACCTTTGCCGCTTCTTCACTTATAACAACTGCACGTCAGGGAGTATTTTACATTTGTAAAGTGATGCAAAATCTAAGAGCGCAAGGCAAGTTTGACTTCACATTTCTACAGTATCTCACAAAAGTGAGTACACCCCTCACACTTTTGTAAATATTTATATCTTTTCACGTGACAACACTGAAGAAATGACACTGCTACAATGTAAAGTAGTGAGTGTACAGCTTGTATAACGGTGTAAATTTGCTGTCTCCTCAAAATAACACATCACACAGACATGAATGTCTTAACCTGCTGGCAAGAAAAGTGAGTACACCCCTAAGTGAACATGTCCAAATTGGGCCCAATTATCATGAAATCACTTTTTTTGAGATACTGTATGTAGAGAAAATGTCATTTGTACTTATTTCACACTGCAATCAAAACCTGAACAAACCAATTTTAGATTGTTACAATGAAAATTCAGGGCACCACCAGCTGGGGAAGAGCGAAGTTAAGGTATACAGAGAGATGTAACACTCCCAGCCAATGTTAGTTACTGCTCTTTTACATTTCAAAATCGACCTCTGCCCCCTCAGTCTCACCAAGGACGCTGACGAAGGCGTTGGCCAGCAGATAGCCATGCTGGTTGGAGGCGTTGCACTGGTAGACGGCGCTGCTTCCCATCTGCACCGAGCGAAAGATGATTGTGTCACCCAGCACTTGTCTGCTCAGGCTGGGGGGAGAGCCTTGCGGGGTGGGTTAGAAGAGAGACAGTGATGAAAATAAGACAAAAGAATAATAAAACTTAAATCATCAGTGATTAATTTTAGACTTTTAACTCGGTAAGTCTTGACAGATCACATTCACAGGCCCAACAATAGCTGTTTTTGTCAATGTTTATGGATCTACAGAATAAATTACTATTATAGATGTATAGTAAAGACATAATCCAAATTTGATTTGATTTAATTTATTTTGATGAGTTACATTTGCCTGTGCATAATAATCCACACTTTTGAATGAATTGCATATGCGGTATCCTATTTGAAAGACCCTGGGCCTTATGCAAGAACATTATTGTATTCTTTTAATAAAAATCCATCAACTGGAGGACGTAGTTCACACAGTCTGAGGAAAGTTGGACACCACCTGACGACATCTTCTCCTGGCTGAAAGCTGCAGTCATATGTGACTGAAGGTGTGAGCATCTAGATGTGTCTAGAGAACAAAATCTGCCAATAACATCACAAAATCTGAAAAACCTCTCAGTAAATTGGCAGACCATGAGTATGATGGCATGGCGTTATTTTGTAATGAATTATGGTCATATTTAAAAGTTGCATGATAAATGGCCATTACTGCCCTTAATGTTACCTATAACATCAAATAACTTATAATAGTTTTGAGTTTAACCCAAATGTGTTACTTTGTGTTACTTAGCAAACAAGAAAGAAAAGTTTAAAATGATTTGCTATACATACTGTCTATAGGTTGTCCATTGATCAGCCATTGGATGTTTGGTTTAGGGTTGCCATTGGCCCGACACACCAGGCGCCCATTCTCATCCGGGGCTAGTACCAGGTTTGTAGGCTTGTCCAGCCAATAAGGTGCCGCTGTGGAACACGGAGAGTCAGGTTAGCATGATGGGGCTCACTCACAAACACAAGCCAATTTATATATTTATATAAACACATAGACACTGTAACCTACTCACCTTTGACCTGAACGAAGATGGAGTGGCGTATGCTGCCTAAATGACTGTTGGCCATGCATACATATTCCCCAGCATCCTCCTCTGACACGTTGATAATCTTCAGGGTCTTGTTGTAGTTCTCAAACTTCACTTTCCTTCCGGGCAGGTCCCCACCCTTCTTAAACCACTTGATAGTAGGCGTTGGACTGTAGAGGAATGACATGAGACATCAACTCCACTCTTGTATGACTCAACAGCCTCATGGTAGTTTTGGAATTTATTTGCATTTAGATGCAAGATAAGCCGATTAAGCCACAATTAATTCATCATTAAAGAATTAAACATCTTTTACAAAGTTGTTTGTAAATGGGGAGGCCACCACATTAGAACCCATTTTTGACCTGTACTTTCCACCAGTCACAAATGTTGTATGGTTTTCTGTAGACCAGTCCCATATATATGTATATATTGTGTTTTTACATTTTCTCCTCTCGCACCGTGCGTACGCAGGGTTGGAGGCAGGTCCTATGGTTATGGAGATACTCTGTATATCTGTTGAGCTGAAACTTCGCAACAACACAGGAGGAGAACAAGGTAGAATGGTAGATAAGCAGCAGACTTTGTAGTAGTAATGAGATAGTTTGTTTGTCCCCCATCCGAGACATTGTTTTTATTGTCCCCACGACAGTGACATTAAATATCCGCCCTTGAGCAAATCCTTCCTATTTATTTGACTCTGTCAGCTTGTGCGTCATAATGGCTAGCAGAGCGGTCGTATGATTACTGATTTTTAAGAACACAGGTGAGGGAGGTGTGGTTGAGGGGAAGAATCCTCTACAGTTACTCTGTGATTCTCCAGAGACTCCGTGATTACTAGTCATGTCCACTTTTGAGCAAATAAATGCCCTGGCTGATTTGATCAAATCCTCATTTTCATTTTCCGTTTCACAGCTGTATCCCAGCTCTACTTACTAGAATTTATAGTTTGTGTGTGTTTAAGTGTGTGTGTGTGTGTGTGAGCTCACAGTCCTGCAGCGATACACTCCAGCAGCAGTTGCTCGTCTCGTAGCACCATTTTAGAGCTCTCACTCCCTGAAGGTGAGAGGAACGTCGGCGTGGTCTCAGCTACTTTACGGCCTGCAGAAAGGGAATGAGGAGGGGTTAATCCACACACCAACTCATTCAGAATCTCTTTCAGTAGCACTACAGTTTATCTTTGTTCCGTGACTCACTTCCTACAAGGAGCTAAACATCCTCTTTGTAGGCACTGCCACATGAATCTAACACTATTATTCTGATCATTTCCTTGTGGCTGTGTTCCATCTCCGCCAGGCTTTGGCTCTCTCTGCAGTCTGTTGTGAGGCCAAAGCAGCCTGTAAATGGGTTTAACACCCTCTGGCTTCTCTCACAGGAAGACATTAAGAAATGCAGAAACAACAACAGGGTCATTGATCTTGCTTTATGTTTGCCAAGGGAAAAGAGATGGCAAAGATTGCCATTAAAAGCTTAAATAAAGCAGCTGATAAAACCCAGTTTTTCTGCTGTGATGAGATTAGTTTAACATCAAACAAAGTATATTTAAGGTCATGTAATTGATGGCATTAGTTTTCAACCCCATGTTTTAACCTTCCCGTGGGGCTTGGCTAAAGCAATAACCCGCAGTAGCATTGTAACTGGTTGGCTTGCCAAAACTAGAGACTTTAGAACAGAACCCTGGTGGTCTTTGGAGTTGGCTTTAAGTTGTAAAGCCTTTTAGAATCCACACAGAGTACACTGACTGGGAGGGAGGAGGGATGATAAAGATCTATTTTAAACCCATACTAAATGTACTGGGGATTTTATACAATAAATGGGTAATAGTTCAGCATCTGCATTGCAGTTGGTTGGAATAAACGTTTGAACACAAATTGTGAATAAAACATTTGAGCATAAATCAGTCAGTTCAGTTTAGCAATCTGGGATGTGAGCAAACTGCCAAGTCTGCCTTTGTTTACATATTACAATACCCAAAAATATGTGACATAGTTGGGGGGCATAGTTGAGTGTAGACTCACTTGCCCTGTTTTATGCACAATAAAGAGTCAAACTTTCTTTCATTTCCTTTTCTTACTTACATATAAACTACAATAAGAGTAACTGACTAAGAGTGTCAAATATTATGATACTCATCTTATAATTGTTATACTTTTCAGGCTTTCCATGAAAGATATCCTTTTTAAAACTGATAGTATTGTTCAGGTTTAATCAAGTTAACTTAATTTAAATGCTAAAATCTTTTGCTTTTTAAATAAAATTTCAACTGCTTTCAATGACCGTCATTTTAACTATTGTCATGGCTTAAACACAACTGTCATTTCCACTGCTTTTACCTCCTTCTCTTCACAGAAACTACTTTAACTGTTCACATACATAGGTCAGGGCTTCAACTGGAAACTAATATTTCAACTGTACACTTTCAAGTGCTTCAACTTAAACTGCATCACGACATGCATCAGTTTAAGATATTTTCAGTCATTTTAAGCTGTAGACATTAATCGTGTTTGCCATTAAAAAGAAGAAGAGGTCAGATGTTGCAATGACTATATCATTGTCTGAATGCTCATGTTTCTTCTCGTATCAGACTTCATTTAGGCAATGCAATTTGAAATTTTATCAATTAGTTTGGAGAAAACAATGTTGTCATAACCAACAGAAGAAGCGATGGCCATAAAACAGAATAATCCTTTAAATCGTATTCTGGAATTCTACTTTAAATGACAATAGTTTGGAGTTAAGCTTTGATTTGGAGTTGTGAGGAGTGTGGGTTGACACTGACAAGTGTTCCAAAAAGACTCGTGCTGACCTTGTACTACATCCCATTGTATGCAACATTGTAAATGATAATTGACTGATCATTTCTAATTATTTGCAACTACACCTGAACCAATTCCAAAAAATATATGCTTTATAATTTTTTTATTATACAGAATAATTTGTCTGACAATTTGACCATTACTTAGAGTTTTAGACTGCACATTTCCACTGTGGACATCAGAGAGTTACAGCCTGCTGAGAAGTGTGTGGGATTAAATTAGCATTAGTGTCCTTTGTGATGCAGATCTGTATGGGATTAAAGCATCTGTTAGCGGTTAGCTTCTCCAGAAGCCAGCAAACTGACAGGAGGGGGAGAGGAGGCTCTGTTATTGTTAGTGACACAGGGAGGAGTAGAAGAATGACAAGAAACATACAGAAGAAGGTTAGTGGTAACAAATGCCAAAGTGCATATGTATGCAATCACTATAGCGGGAGCAGGCAGATACAGTGAGCCCATCCTGTAAACAGGGTTTACCAGGATGCACTGCAGCTTTAGACCCCTCCCACCCACCCACAAAAGAGACATAGTTGTGGTTTTTGCTTCTATGTGCGTTCATAAGTGATTAGTGCTAAAGTAGCTAGCATGAGAGTGTGTGTGTGTGTGTTTTTGAGTGGTCGCATGTAAGCATTTCGACAGCCTTTACAGTCCCCATCAATCCCCCACACTCACATAGAAATATGTTTGAGAGCAGAAGAGAACCTTATTTTCATACATATATGCCCATTAATGATTAGCCTACTGCATGAATACAGACTGAATATTCATCATGTGACCTAATCCTCCTTTTAGCCGGAGCCTCGTCTGTGTATTCAGTCCCACTGGGCCTCAGAGTCGGCAGCCCGGTGTGTCACTAGGAGCATCTTCTCCCTTAGGGACACACGCCATCTACCCCTAGGCTTCACTGTCCCCCTAGCTCAGCCCATTGCACATATGCTGCCACAGATTCAATTCTCTATGTGCAATATTCTTGAATTAAGGGTAATTTATGTGTTAATTGCTATATGTTTATTCATTACCTGTGATCATTTAACACTGATTGAAAGGTGGAATAAACTGATTATGGATTAAATGAGATGGATGCTTGTTTCTGTTGTGTCAGTGTATATTAAGGTCAGAGAGATGTCACATCTGGTCCAGTCTGTCATTCTCCTCTCATACATTGGAAATGATCTCATTTGATTTACTACACTGACTGATTAGGAGAAATTGTTTCTATTGTTGTCAGATATACTAGGACTTTCAGTGGAGAGTTGTCATGAGCCAAGATGCTCAAGATGGATATACATATTTTATTCTGATGCAAAGAGCAAAGAAACACATGCTCTGTGAGGTCAGACAATACCGGTATTCATTACAAATTTAAATCTAAAAACATCAACTACTGCAAGGTTCAATAAAACCAAGGGGAATGTTAAATGATGAAATGACTCAACAACTCTTGAAAGTCCTGGAACTCAATTCTTCAGACTAGAACTTCAGTACATAATGTAGTTCAAATTCAGCAATGTTTGCAGAGCAGCCACTATGTCTTTTTAGTTTGAAAATGGGATGGAAAAACCAACCAAAGTCCAATAACTGATACATTGGCTACATTAGGTGCCAGTTCATATCTAAGTGAACGATAAAACAGAAAATAATCTGTTATAGAGCCTACTTACAATAATGTTGTCATGACGTTAAAACAGATGTTTGTTAAGACCTTATTTCACTCAAAATACAAGCTAACCTTTCAGTTGTGAAATTCAAATGGAGAAAAACAAGTACTTTAAGCACGTTCTAATTTTGTAGCTCAAAAGTATATTGTCTTGTCTAGGTAATACACTCACCTAAAGGATTATTAGGAACACCATACTAATACTGTGTTTGACCCCCTTTTGCCTTTAGAACTGCCTTAATTCTACGTGGCATTGATTCAACAAGGTGCTGAAAGCATTCTTTAGAAATGTTGGCCCATATTGATGGACAGCATCTTGCAGTTGATGGAGATTTGTGGGATGCACATCCAGGGCACGAAGCTCCCGTTCCACCACATCCCAAAGATGCTCTATTGGGTTGAGATCTGGTGACTGTGGGGGCCATTTTAGTACAGTGAACTCATTGTCATGTTCAAGAAACCAATTTGAAATGATTGGAGCTTTGTGACATGGTGCATTATCCTGCTGGAAGTAGCCATCAGAGGATGGGTACATGGTGGCCATAAAGGGATGGACATGGTCAGAAACAATGCTCAGGTAGGCCGTGGCATTTAAACCATGCCCAATTGGCACTAAGGGGCCTAAAGTGTGCCAAGAAAACATCCCCCACACCATTACACCACCACCACCAGCCTGCACAGTGGTAACAAGGCATGATGGATCCATGTTCTCATTCTGTTTACGCCAAATTCTGACTCGACCATCTGAATGTCTCAACAGAAATCGAGACTCATCAGACCAGGCAACATTTTTCCAGTCTTCAACTGTCCAATTTTGGTGAGCTCTTGCAAATTGTAGCCTCTTTTTCCTATTTGTAGTGGAGATGAGTGGTACCCGGTGGGGTCTTCTGCTGTTGTAGCCCATCCGCCTCAAGGTTGTGCGTGATGTGGCTTTACAAATGCTTTGCTGCATACCTCGGTTGTAACGAGTGGTTATTTCAGTCAAAGTTGCTCTTCTATCAGCTTGAATCAGTCGGCCCATTCTCCTCTGACCTCTAGCATCAACGAGGCATTTTCGCCCACAGGACTGCCGCATACTGGATGTTTTTCCCTTTTCACACCATTCTTTGTAAACCCTAGAAATGGTTGTGCATGAAAATCCCAGTAACTGAGCAGATTGTGAAATACTCAGACCGGCCCGTCTGGCACCAACAACCATGCCACGCTCAAAATTGCTTAAATCACCTTTCTTTCCCATTCTGACATTCAGTTTGGAGTTCAGGAGTTGATTAGATAATTGCATTAATGAGAAACTGAACAGGTGTTCCTAATAATCCTTTAGGTGAGTGTATGTCGTTTTTTGAATGGTGGAATATGATTTCTGCCCAGACAACAGCTCCTATACTGAATAGGGATGTAGAATTTGGGATTTTTCTCTCCTAAAAAGGGTCCAATTTAACAATATTTAATATTGACAGCAAAGGTATTCTTTAAAGGAAACACAACACCCCATACTCACCTTCCCACATGAAACACAGTGAATTCTACACCTGTAAAGAGCAGTTAGGAGGTTCAGTTTGACTCTAAGGTCGGTCTGAGGTCAGTGGATTACTTGAGCTTCACTGAGCTAGCAGGTTAGTGTGCAAAGTCATGTCACTGTAGGACATGACTAAGGAGGCGGACACTCACCACCGTAGGGGTCAGTGGCATTGTAAGATGTGTCATTATACGGCTCCGCTGAAAACACAGGCAGACACAGTGGCTCATCAGTCCACACACAAACACACTCACAGAAACCTGTCAGCACACAGTTGTGTTGAGCAATAAACAAAGCTGAAAGAGAAACGTTCAGGTTATAAAATAATCCAGCATGTCAATGTCTTCTTTATTTTGCAGCAACCTGAGGAAACATCAATAAAGGTTATGATTTCATGCTTCTCATGTCATGTCATGATATCACCTCTAGATGGGGATATGTCATGGTGTGTGATCGAAACCCACGCAGCAGACATGGAGAGAGAACAAGACCACAGAGTTCATACACAGTTAGCGCAGTGGCTCCTGTTGAATAAATGACGGGTATCCGCAAGTGTGTGTGTCACTCACTGGTCAGAACTTTGAGGGTGAAGGGGTTCTTCTGCTGGATGGTGTGTGTGAAGAGGAAGCGAGCGTTGCAGCTGTAGTCAGTGTGAGCGTCTTTGGCCAAAACGTTGGAGAAGTACAGGTCCCCGTTCAGACCCATGGACACTCTCTTATCCTGAGGGATCGGATTCATCGCTGGAAGACAGAAGACAGAAGGAACAAATATTATTATTGTTGGACAAATAATAATTATGAGTCTGAAGTCACGTTAACATTTTAAATCAGGGGTCTGTGATTCCCTAATTGCTTCCTTGGAAGTTTCCTGGAGAGAACTGTGTATTAGCTGATGCCAATTAATGTAACAACTGAATGGTGTTAGTTGTATTCAGGTCTACGTTCTGAACAAGGACAGATTTACTCAGGGGTGGGTCTTTAACAGGCAAGCAGGGTCTAATGACAACATCGGTTGCAAATGTAGCACCCATTCTTTCTGGAGACTGAGCGATACTAGAGACTTAAAGACTGGATATCTTGGCCTCTACTGCTTTGATAGTCTATTGCAAGTCTCTCTCTATATATATAGTTCAATACCAAATTGAGGATCCCTTAAGGGTAACCCTTAAGTATGCTAATATCAACTAAGTCTTGTATTTAAGATATAGATATCTATGAAAGAGATAGTGTATCTTGATTTTAGCTGGCTGCCCTGCTTTGTCTGAAACAAACACATTTTTTTGTCAAGAAATCACCAACTGATCTCTGACATCTTGTATCAAAAAATAGATTGATTGTGGATTGTTTGATGCGTATATTTTTACGAATAACTCAGTTCAGCATCTGTTTAAGTTTGCTCTGGTAACCCTTCTGATGTGTTGCTACAAGCAAACATTATCTCGCATGACACCCACACAGACGTCAAGACAGACTGCCATCCACCCTCTGTAACTGCGCCAACTGATGTGAGCCGTATGGTGAGACAGTGCCCCAGGACCAATCGACAGCCAGGCCAGCAGTCCTAATCATGTTATGGTGAGTTACAGTGCTGGGCTACATGACACGCTGATATGATGCACAACGGTCGATCTGAGTGTGTGTTTAGTGTGTGTGCCATTTAGACTTTTCACTGAGTGGGTAGAGTTCACATAAGGTGAAAGGACCTCTATGTTTTTAACTGGTAAAGATATTTTCTGTAACGGAAATAGTTGAAATGTTCTTTACGAAGAGGTCCTTAATCCAGAATATTCAAATAAATGACTTGTTTTAATCAATGGTATGGTTGTTTAACAAAGATGTAAATTGGCTTCTAGCTGGACAAGATCTCTACATACGCGCAATGCAAAGGGTGCCAGAGTGGTTTGAGACAGAAAATTCTCACAGCTGAGAGAGAAACTGAAAGAGAAAAGAGCATGCGGGATAAAATACTAAATTAAAGCATTACACTCAGAGGTCACTGGAGACAAACTGCTATGAAAAGAGGGACATAGCCTGTCTCTAGCTAGCCTATCACAATGTAAAGGGACAAAAAATAAATAAAATGCATATCTCAGCACCTAGATTCTTTGGGCATGCTGATTGACATGATTTGAGGTGGTTGTATTCAAAACACAGCAACAGTGACAATGTCATCCCCGAGGATGATGCAGTCAGCCTCCGTGCTAATCAGGTGCTCAGGTTTAAGAGGCAAAATTGTAAGGACAATTGTAAAATTGAGGAATGTGAAAGCCAAACCGGTCATTATTCACCTCTATCCCCACCCTTCCTGTGAAAGCCAATAAACGTGCAGCTGCAGCCCACAGCTGCACCATCATAAAAATATTACTTATATGTCTCAGTCCACCTTAAGATGGTAAAACTGCACCTGATAATGGGTGAGAGTGTCACTTTTACTGGCTAATGCATTGACATCAGTGGGACATAGATAAAACACACTAGAGAAAGAGAAATAAATTCAGTGTACTGTGTGTATATTTGTGTGTAATTGCTGCTCACCGCTGTTCATCCAGAAGGTGAACGGAGGAGGCAGGCCTGGTGGGGGGTTGCAGGGTAGAATCAGCGGGGAGCCTTCAGTCACCACCACTGGCTCCAGCACCTCTTTAGGCCACAAAGGAGCCTCTGAAAGATGGGGGAGGGGAGGAAAAGATAAGGAGAAGAAGGAAAGGGATATATGACAAGAATTTCAGTCAGACGAGGGTGAGGGGACTGTTACTGCAATTTATAGATGACTGATTTTATTCGCAGCATGTGAAAAAATGTGGGGCATTTATTGGTGGTTACAATTGTGGTTTGCAACAAGCACACAAGAAAACTTATAATATAATAATCATATATTGCTGCGTTTTTTTCATCTTTTCTAATATAAGACGTGATGCTTCAGTTGAAATTATGATGATATTTCAAAGTGTGCATTATGTCCGAAGTTTGCGTAATAACGTGTGCTCTCATGTGTTTTCTTACTGGAGACCCGGAGCAGGATTTTGTTGGACAGAGCCACTCCAAAGTCATTGCTGGCAAAACACTGGTACTCTCCTTCATAGTCCTCTGGTCGTCCTCCACTACGGAAACCAATCTCCAGAGTTCCTGAGCGTTTTCGCATCGTCACCCTGGGATCTTTGGCGATGTTGAAAAACTTCCCGTTCCTTCGCCATGAGAACCTGAGCCAGAAGACAACAAATCAAAGATTTAGCATTTTAACATTGTTGATCATTGGAATAGAAAAGTTGCTCTACTATTGTCAGGGTTTGGTCTGTGTCTCTTTCCGTTTCCTGTTTTATTTTGAAGTTGTGGGTGTCGGGTGTTTGTGTCTGGCTTTGTCTCCTGCTTAGTTCTGATTTTCCCTAATGCGTTGCACCTGTTTGTCCTCCCTGCCTGCTCGTGTGTATCTGTTACTAGTTACTTATTACTCCTTAAAAAAGTAATAATATTACTTTACTTAACGAGTTACGTTACCCGTTACATTACTTGTTACGTTACTATAGTACTTTCACAACTGCCGCTGACCTGCAACACAGCTGGCCATTCACATCGAATACAAAAAAACGGCGTTCCAGTAACACAGTAACCAGTAATGGATTAGTAACTATAATAATATTACTGTTTTGGAAATAGTAAGCCGTTAAACTACTAGTTGCTAAAAGTAATAATATTACAGTAATGTGTTACTGCCCAACCCAACACTGGTTTGGACTGCCTCATGTTGAGTGCCTGGATTTACATTCTGTAAGTGACTCTTTATGTCTTTAAATGTTGTTGACTGTTGACTTACTGATGTAATTAAGCAGCAATACAACATGTATGTAGTTTTATGTGTATGGGCTTATATGTAAAGTAAACACTAGCACGTCCGTTAAAGAGGAGACAATTAAGGCAGGGAAAGCTTTGCAAAACTTATCTTGGCAGGAGCTATGCCCTCTGGGCTATCACCTTGTCAACATGGACTGTTTCAATATCTGGAAAATTTGAAAGTCCTTTGCTTGTCATGTGGTTGCCGTTTTACATTACTGACCTGGTACATGACAGTAGCACGAAAATCTACCACACCACACGCTCTCTGTGTGCATGTATCAGCACTGTAGCTTAATCCTGTTGTATGTGGTGTTTCCACAGTGCACCCTGATTAGTGAGGAACTCTGAATATGCTTACATAACCCGCCTCTATTTTTAGATGTGATGAGCGGATTTCTACAAGATGCTTCCTGTCATTTTTACAGCGTTTACAGCAAGTTACAGTTTAGATGCGCCTGTCTGAGGTGCAGCATAGCGCTGAGCCTGAACAATGGACCACTGTTGAAGCACTGGAGACCAGAGCTGTGTGTGCTGTGGTGTGTGTTGCGTAGTGAGAGACTGATGAGTGAATAAGTGAACGATCCCTTTCGCTGAATGTTTCATGAGCATGAATAGTCAACTGAGTGCATTATTGGAGCACAATGCCTGTCCTGGGAAGGGGAGAGCCAGTATGTGTGCATGGGAGAGTGGCCGTGAGTGCCTTATTGTGAGGTTGTGTAAGGATGTGTGTACACAAGAATCTGGGTGAATGTGCACACGTTTGTGTGTGTGGGTCTTACGTAAAGCCAATCTGTCTCCAAATAAACAATGCACCACTGTCATGAGCTGGTCATACCCCCAGTGATGTAACCACTGGAGACCCAGTGTGTGATTGTGCTGTCAACCTGACTTGTGTGTGAATAGATTTTTGTGTGAGTGTAGAAGAAGAAAAAAGGAGGAAATCTGGGGGGAAAAAATCTGTGAATGAGAACGATGAGAGCAAGAGAGGGAGAGAGATGAATCCAAAAGAAGACTATTGACTAATCCACCATCTGATGTATGCTCTAGCAATGAAGTCATTACTGCTGTGGCAATAAAAGCGAAAACAGTTTTACTGACTGTGAAAATATAGAGGGATTGATCAAAGTTTTCAATCACCCTTTCCTTCAATTGGCTTTGCGAGAAAAGAAGAAGAAGAAAAAAAAACACACCACGTTGACCTGACCTCTAAATGATAGACTCATAATTCAGAATTAGCTAGTTTGATTATAAAGTAATGCATGATATCATGCTTGTAATCAGATGACAAACGCCATTTAATAACACAACTATGAATTAACTACAGTTTTGGATGGATCATTTCACAGTGATACACTTGTCAAAATCTGAGCAGTTCTGACATCAAGTCGAAGATCAGCCCCAAGGAATACAGCTGTGCTGTGAAGCAATTGTGGCGTAGCGGCCGCACAGGGTATTGCAACTTCTATGTTCATCATGTGACACACACTGGCCCAAAAATCATTTTTACCCACACACAATCATTGGAAAAGCAGTGGAGTAAATGGATTATTCTGTGTTTTGGGGGAGTGTCACAACCCCCCCAAAATCTCCTTTCTTAGCAAAAGCTGTCTTTTGTAAAGCTTTTGCTAAGATATATGTACAGGAAAAAGTCGAATCCTTTCCACATGCTTTACTATAGTTTTCTTGTTTTGGTCTATAGCAGTACCAGTAGTGTACTGCTGATTAGTATGTACTATAGCAAAGGGGGCAGGGAGTTTATGGGCACATTGTTTTTCTAGAAAACAACCACAAATAAATAGAACACATCCCAAAACGAAATTATGGGAAGTCAGGGAGAGTTGAATGGGTTTATGTCAGCTGGAGCAGACAGCCAGACAGAGTGATGGAGGAAATGGAAGGTGATGTGGGTAGCAGAGAGAGAGAGAGAGAGCGAGAGAGCAGCAAAAAGCACAGCAGACCACTTGTCAGGTTAAGGCTGTGGGTGGCAGGCAGACAGGCGTCACACTGAGTTTACGGGGTTGTTAGAGGACAGGAAACAAGCTTTAGGGCAAATCACCATTCATTTGAAGGGGAAGGGGGTCACTGAAAAAGGAGGGGCCAGCAAAGGTGAAAGTGTGTTATTGTGTATGTGAGATAGAGAGAGACAGACAGATGGGGGGGGGACATCGGAGTGACATTGTCACTACTCATAACTTTCACTGCCAAAGAGAGACAGGGGCGAATGGAGAGAGGACATGGACATGGAGACATCAAGGACAGACAGATTAGGGGGACAAAATGAACGACAGGCAGTAAAGGAAAAGAGGAGGGAAAAAATTTTTAAGGGTTGATTAAAGGATTAAAGGGTTGATTTCCCCAAATTAAACAACAATAATAATTTCTTATCTTTTCTTAATGACCCCTGGTGGTACCCAGTCATGCAGAAAGATTTGGTTTTAATTACGGAGGTCCGCTTTACTCTGCATAATCCAGCACACACCCTGTCAACAGTTTATGTGGAAATTGAATGAAAACTGTCCGCCGTGATGTCTGTTTATTAACTGGGAACTGTTTTGGGATTTAATTCTACAAATTATTCTTCATTCACCACAAATGTTTTTGGGTGAGGGTGAGAAAAACCCTTCATGTTAAATATGAAATAAAAAGGCAGTTTTTATGCTCAGATTTTGCAGCCTTGCTAGAAAGAGAAAAAAAACTATTGTGGGCTGAACATTTGCTGGCTGGAGCTTTATTGTATAGCCCGTTAAACATATCATCTGTTTGTGTCTCTGCAATGGGATCCATTCCTTTAAACAGAGAGCAATGAGCAGAGGGCAGATCCGTGAGTGTGTTGTGAGGTGTGTTGTGTTCTGTTCCGCTTACGTTGGCCCTGGGTTGCCCTTGGCCTCACACTCGATGATGATGTTATCTCTAGGGTCCACAATGTAGTCCTTCACTGACTGTACGACTATAGTGGGGGGTTGCTTCACTGTGAGAAGAGGGGAGAGACAAAGACAAAGTTACACGAAGACGGTTGTGTACATTTAATGCATACACACATTCACACGCACACGAGTCCTGCATTGCATTCAAGATCAGTGCACTCTAGACAAGGTTTTCAATAGCTCAATATACTGATTTATTGTGTTACAATAATAAATCTCAATGGAGAGACAGTAGAAGGGAGGAAAAGAGGAAGGTGGTCCTCACATTAAGTGTTGCAGTGGATGTTTCCTAGGTTTAACTGGTTGTCAACAATTAGAATACATTTGGTCAACAATGCATTTGCTAAATTTAATTTGTTGTTATAAAGACCATCGTCAAACTCACAGATAACATCATTTTGAGCTGCCAAGCTGTGTTCAAAGAGTGAGCCTGAATTTCTAGTTTCCAATTCTACCAAATATGTAGGAGCCATAAAAACAGTTTGGGCTCAAATACATCTGACTGCTGAACTTGTCAACATTACAATTTTACCTAAAAAGCTACCTAATAGTCCCCCAGAATTCCTTACAAGGATGGAAAAGGTTCTGAAACTTTAAAGGATGAAGCTGGAGTTATTCTATATTTTCACGGTCAATAAATCATATAAAAATTTTAAAAAACGCTTAATGTGGTCCTCTAGTAAGTATTTGGGACAGCAGGACAGTGGATGTGGGATTGAGTCAAAATAAACTACAGTGTGTGTGTTCACCATGTCACCCTATGTTAGAGTGTGGATCATTAAAGTGTTCTTAATGGACAGCAAAGGAGGGGCACAGAGGAAGAACATACCGTATATCAGGCTTTGGATACATAAACAATGCTCTTTCTTTTCATGTGATTTGTTGATTATAGTACAATATAGAATATTGATTTACCTTTAAACCATTTCCAATGATTTGTCCTATTTTGGTCATTTTTGTTTTTTATTTTACCATAAGGCCATTATCAGCATCATTCATGAGTCAAAACCTGCTTTACATTCTAATAAAATGATTAAAATGATCATAGTTTCCACCTCCCCAGCTGTGGTGCGTCTCCTATACATATTTAATGACTCGCTTAAGCCAAACCCTTCAACAGTACAGACAAGCCACACAGCCAGCATCTTACTGCCCTTTTGCATTTCTAGCTCACTGAGCCCTGCAGGGCTTTGAATTTAACACTGTACACAAGTACACACACACACACACACACACATACTGTACACACAACACAAGATAACAAGCACTTCAGAGGGCCAGCCGCCTGCTAGATTAAAGGAGAAGCTTGATGCTCTAAAAGAGAGCTCTGTGATTGGACAATATGAATTAATTCCTGTCTAACAGTTTCCGTGTTGAAGCTATACCAGCTAATCTCCTCCACAACTGTAAAAGGACGGTATTATGCATATCCCTCAAGTTGCTATGGCAACCGTAAAAGTATTTTTATAGTATCCTTGGTTGTGATAAAAGCCAAGCTATATGAGATCATTGGTATGGAAATGACTCACATGACTTATCACATTATGTTAACAGGCTCTGAGTACTGTATTTCACATGCACATTAATTAGTTTCTTACAACCAATTATATGTTGGAATATACCAATCTATCATTCACTGTTGTTCGTTAAAGTGTGTGTCCCCTAAATCAGAAGGGGTTCTCCAAAGCACATAAATACCAGTGTGTAATGTCCTCTCTTTTTCACAGTCATATTAGTAAATGCTACTGCAACATTTCAAGCTCTGACCTATTAAGATACAAAATCAGTTGGGACAGAAACATTAGCAGTGACATGTTAAAAAAGAAGCACTTACAGTCTTGTTGGATCTTTGCTGTTAGTCCAGTATAATGCCAAAGAGAGACAGAGAAAAGGACAAACAAGTTGCAATGGGACTGTTTTTAATATTAGGGATGCGTTACGTTATAGTGGTTCCCAACTGGTGAGGTACATTTTCAGTGGATGTCGCAAATAGGACAGAATACAGAATATATAAATTTTTTGGTTTTGTATTCTTTGTTTTACTACACACAAACACAAAAAGAATGCAGTGAAGTACTGGTCTGGGATGAAATTTATCATTCTTACCACTGTGGTTGTATTGCCCTGTTTCTTTTCTCTGACCTATTCAATTTATACTGCAAAAATAGTTTTAGTAGTCTGAACAAGCCTGAATTAGTTATAACTGCTATGTTCCTCTAAATGTTGTTTTAAGCCTTGATTTTACTCTCTTGCCGTAGTCCTTCCCATATCATTGTGGTTTAAGCTCCAGTTGTAGTTGTTATTTTAGTTTTCATTTTGTGAAATCCAATTAAATAAGCAGCACAATGGTTAGCATTTTATCCTCACAGAAACAAGGTTTGTATCCAATGACAGGCGGAATGGATTGATGTTAGGTTGGTCTACAGTATGTGTAGACTGTGACCTGATGTTTGAAGGAAAATTTGAACCCTGAGGCTGGACCAGTTGAGAACCACTGTTATATCTTACGGTTATGTTGCATGGTGTTTAAGCAATATAAATACTGAATTAGTTGTTTGAGTGAACTGTGATCTAGAAAGTGAAACAGAAAAAGATGATTGAGGACTCACCTGTAAGGAGTTCCCGTATCAGGAAAAGATGAGCAGTAAGTGAGAGAAAGACAAGACAAGTTTTGCTTCAGATTGTACATCAAAGACTGTAACACAGTGTCATACTGTTTATTCCAATTGCAGAAAAATGATTAGTGATAGAAGGGCAGCCCGATCACATGCTTCACTGTATTTGGGAGGCCACCACATGAAGCTTTAAAAGGCCTGCATACTGTGCGTAGCTTTTAACCACAGTTTTTTTTATTGTTGTGAAAGGATTGGCTGGCATATTGGGAACTACAATAAAACAAAAGAATTATACCCTGAACTTAAGGCAGCACACTCATGTTCTCTAGTATGGTCAATCCATGAAATCCCTCACAAAATAAAATCTAGAGTGCGGGACTTTTATATGAATCAACATCTATTATATTAAGACTGTAGCGGAATTAAGTGAGAAGTATGCACTGAGGTGATATCTGTGGTGTCATTTTGTCCCATTTGGTATATAGGGCCTACAGGTGTGTTTTCCTGCATGTATTGTATATTTGATCCAGTTAATAATGATGACTCTGTTCTGTCAGCTACAGAAAAACTCCACCGACCGCTCTTTAGATATTATTATGTAGAGTGTTGAGTGTGTGTGTGTATGTGTGTGTGTGTGTGTGTGTGTGTGTCCTGTAGGGATGTGTGGAAGGCACTCATCAATAAAGGTCAAGAGGGCAGTATGCTGTGAAGCTGATGAGCAGACATAAGGAAAAGAGGGGGATGGGGCTTCTCATTGCATCTACTGAATTAAATCATCAAAATATTGAAGAGGATGTGGTGCCTTAGTTGGCTCTGACCAAAAGCTACAAGGGAAGAGTTATTTAGTATAATTGTACAATACAAAAACATCAGGACAGAACTAAATCTGATCAGAACACCTACCAAAAGGGCAATGGTGGTATTATTAATATAAATCTTGTGTCTAATGGTGCAAATGAAATAAACCTATTAAAAGTGTTCTTACAAGTACCATTGAGAGCTACTGGAATGCCTTGTACACGTAAACTTGGCCTATTTCAGATTCTGCTGCTTGTAAATGTTGACCAGAAATTTTGTTTTGGAAAATGTTAGTAAAACCGACTAAAGCCTTGTGTATAGGGGTTCTTAGCACATCAGCTGTTGGAACTTAAGACAGGACAAAGAGATGACATCTGGAGCACAAGGTTGGAAATATAGCTTGTTATAAGGTACAATAGTTAACACTTGTAAAAACAACACATTATTTAGCATAGAAGGGCCCTTGTAGATTTTTTTTTTTGTAGATTATTCTTCTTAAAAAACTCAACTTACGAGAAAAAAACTCTCACAGATGCTGGGCTCAAGCAAACTTTTTGGGTTCAATCCAAAGCCCTCTGGGTCAAACTAGCCATTATAATTTGTAGGCTATCCCCATTGGCCATATGGTGATTTCACCTTCCCCCAGGGCTTTTGCTGTGGCACTGTGGATTTTTGATGCCCTCTTTGACTTTTTCTCTCCCACTGACCTGCCGGAACATCAGCCTCTGTGTGTTCCAGGGTCTCCTGATTTACAAATTAAGCACTACCCTAATGTTGAACATGAGCTCCCCTTTCCTTTCTATAATCTAACCACAACAATTTACCCTCTGACCTAGCTTGTTAAATGGCTGGGCGTAATGTCAGAAAGAGTTTTTTTTTTGGGAAATTTAAACTTTAATCTCAGAAATTAAAAATGTCTTCTATAGTAACCCCGTACCCCAGCTCTGTATAAAATAATGTTTTACTTAGAATGGCCCTAATATGTCGTCGTGTGTTTTGCTTGGTGTCTGTCTCTCTGTGTTCTGCTCTCTTCCTCATGCTCTGGATGGCGCTGGTGGGCATGGTTCCCAGTACTACTACTCAGCACACCTGTTCAGCATCCTGCCATCACCACTCTCCATTTAAACCAGATCAAACTTCTGGTCCTCGCAGGATCATTGCACCATTCTGTATAATTACACGCCAGTCAGTGAGTATTTGCCTGCTTGTTCATTGCTAACTTATACCATCTCTCCGTCTACCCCAGACCCCCTGCTTAAAGCCCTGGACTCTCTGTTCTACCTGCCAGCCCCGGAGATTACCCGGAACCCAGAACCCACTTGCCTGCAAATCAGAACCATTCACTGCCCCTGGACAACAGATCACTGCCCCACTCGCCTGTCATCCCTTTGCCTATGTCTTGTGCTGTGTGTCTGAATTCTGGTCACCAGCCCTGACAGTTGCTATGTAAACATACCTCAAAGCTCATTGCGCACCGTTGTAAACCATTTTGAGGAAACCTGGAGGAAGTTTCCATTTTTATTGTTTATTAAAAAATATATACTGACAAATTTTATGATGCTGTTTTGATGATACTCATAGTCATAAAAAGTACATTATCTGTACAGGATAACCGTTTCAACCAAGAAATCGTTCAACCCTTAAATATTCAATTTCTGTGGTTTGTATTTATTTAAATTCTTGCATGCAATCTCACACATCAAATCATGCAGCAAACATGAACCCTTTGCCGTGTATCATACTCAACCATGAGCTGAATCTATCTAGAAGTGACCAATTGATAATATTTTTTTCAGAAATACATAAAGTCACTGCCTTTCAGTTCATTACATGTGGCAAATACATTAAGGTGAGGTCACTGGGTTATATGCGTATATTCAAATGGTCTCTGTTTAGCAGGGTGTGTGTGTGTGTGTGCTTCAGATCAATAGAGCATCATAAGCCCAGGGTTGAAAGGTCAGGCTTATAAAAAAAAGGGAGAGAGATGGCTCTAGGGGAACAAAGAAATAGAAGACAGAGCAGCTGACAGCTGACGGCTGCGTGTCTGTGTGAGTGTGTATGGAACATATAGGCCAGGTGTCCTTGGGGCTATCTCTGTATCAACTCATTTGTCATTGTACAATTGTGAAACATTCATCTTTTGCGTGAAAAAGGATTTTAACAGCAGGATCCAGTCACACTTTTATACTGGACAGAAATGAGAATAAGTGTGACTGTGTGTGGAAGTATATCTGTATAATATATTAATACGTGCATGTTGGAGTCAATGAAGACCTATTATCTTGAATTTGCAGTGAGGGATTCACTATTACCCAGGGACAGGAAGCAGTCTGTTCTCATGATAATCAAATGTTAATGTCATCACTGCAACAGCTCCAGCAACCTACGTACGGTTTCATATTTGAAAAATGAATTCTGCAATGCTTTGGAACCTGCATTAACGTCGCTGTTGAATTTCATCTTTTTCCCTCCGAACTCATGTCAATTAATTTTGTCTTTACTTTAAATTGAAAGGAAAAAATATTACTCTTTGAAAGAGGCCTTGCTTAGAGCAAATAGTTAATGCTATTTTAAAAAAAAGAATCATCAAAATAAATGCAGCTGAGAGCTAGATATTTTAACTTTAATCCCTAGTACAGGTCAAGCTCCAAAAACACTGGATCCTTTGATTCCCTAATGCAACTTGACAATATCTTTCCATGCCTGTAAAATGCACATGTCTTTGAAACTCAACAACCCCCAGTTTTGTAATCCAGGTTTTATGTTGTAAATGTGAAGTTACCAATGGCAAGCTCAGATGTTGATGAATGATGATGACGAGTTAGCTAACCTTCATGTGTAAAATCAGTGGAGTGCCCCCTTTAAAGGCTTAAAGCATCAGTGGAAAAAAGCCCATAAAGGGACAGTAAAAAAAATTTAAGTCAATACACTTTTTGTTAAATTCAACAAATATTTCCTCATTTTCCTACACAGCCCTGGCTCTGTAAATGGAAAACAAAGAAACTGGTGTGGATGTTCCCCACAATTATGCTCCAGTCAATCAGCAGAGGGAGCACTGAAGAAAGGGTTGTCTTTGTTTGGCAGTTCAAATCTCAACAATCTTTCTGCAGAATCGCTTACTATCCCTTTAACTGAAATTCGTCACCTCCTCCACTCCCACAAATCACAGCCAGAACCTGTGGTTTTTATGCTCACACTGTACAGATCAACTGAGTGACCACGACATGAAGCTCACACTGAACGTAAACAGAGAAATCCCGGCCGATTATAAGGCAACCATGTCCTCAACAAAAGACAGAAAGGCAGCATTATTTTGTGCAATTCTACTATGAATGAAAAGTTAGAGGAAATGCCGTATGGCGCTACAGATGTCTGGAAGATGCAGACAATATGATGTCTGTTCCGCAGTGATGTTCATTTCATATCACAGCACGCACAAGACTATAGTTTTAGTCACAAAATGTAAAATCTACTCTGATAATATCAAAGTACCCATGAGATAAATCAGACAGTGAAACTGATCAGAACTGCAAGACTGAAATCAAAACTGATCATCCAAAATACAGATTGTTGATCTTTCAGGTGATTAATCAGGCATCTTGATCCCATCTTGATATGGCAGAAATTTGTCCTGATCCTAAAATGGTGTTGGATTCATCAAACCATTCACCACTTGGCCTTGTCAGAATAAAGGTCAGAAAAAGTATTTGCAGGAATTGTCAAAAGTAGTGTCTGGGCATTCTAGCGGTCTAGTGGTGTATACCTTACACACACATTGTCCCCTGTTCAGGTCTGGCCTGTACCTTCACTGTAAGCTCACAATTCCAACACAAACTTTGTCTAATGGACTTGAAAAACACATCTCATGTAATACGTTCTAAAATTATCTGCCCTTTACTAAAAGGCTAGAAGCAACGGCTTTTAATTTGACGAGGCAAAGTGGAACAGTTTCCTTGTTCTCTATCAACTTGTGTCAGCAGTTTACAGTTTAAAGAATTTGTATAAAAAAAATATGAGCTAAAAACAGAAAAAAAAACCCAGAACCTGACATCAAATATATCTAATAACTACCCAAGTACTACCATTGTTGAAGGAAATTGGATTATTTGAATAACTAATGCATAACCTACACGTGTTTATCTTAACTTAAGAAAACATTTTACTTGCGTAACCTATGTGAAAAATATGAGTAGTTATAATCAGAAAGTCAGTACAGTCGAGCACACACATTGAAAAGAAAGGTCATTCTGCCCTGAAAATGCCAGATGACTTACATAGCCAGAGTTGTTTTTGTAAAACATCCCATAAGGAGGAGCTTCATATGAATTGATGTCAGAAGAAGTTTTAGATATTCTGCATTCTGAATCCAGACCCTTCCTATTCCAGATTTGTATTGTACTTTCCATAGAATAAATTACTTTGTACTGAAGAAGTTTCATTCTTCTGTATCTCGGTGATTGGTTCCTACAACCTGAAAGTGTTTATTTATTTAAAGTTATCAAAAACTGACCAAGAAGAAGAAAATCATCCGTAAACCCATCTTTGTTTGTCTAAAGTGCTGTTTTCCAGACAGTAAGTCAATGTGCCCTTGTGGAACACCAATTACAAACCTATCTGAGCCATCTATAACCAGATTAATTGTCATAGTTTTTGGTATGGCATTCACTATTTTCTGTAACATATTGTATTAAAGTGGATCTGATGAGTGCAGAGTGACTTACGGTCTTGTGGGACTTCAATGGGTGCTGCTTTGTGCCACAGCAGTAGCAATGACACGAGAGCCAGGGCCACATGCCCGCCCTGCCCCAACATTTCTTCCCCACCAATTGGACGGCGTCGCCCCACACCTCTCCTGATTGGTTGGATAGTTCTCCTGAGCCAAGGACCTGTGAATACAGACAAGAGACAGAGATAGAAGATTAGGATGAAGACAGCATAGTATACCATAAAGTATATCTACAGTATAAACTGTTTGTGAGTGTGGGTGAGTGTGTAGCTGTGTATGTATTCTGAGTGTGTGTGTGTCGACTCTGGCCTACATTTACAGCTGAGTCCCTGTGTGGCTCCCCAGAGAGAGCGGCCTAGAAACAAAGCCAAGGAGAAACTCTATGGCACTGATTCATAAATCTCCAATCACAAGCTGCTTCCCAGAAAATTTTGTAATGCATTAAATCATCTGCCCTGAAATTATGATGGAGAATTATTAGGAACACTTATTTCAGCATTCCATTATCTTTGCTACAATGTAGTGTATATTTTAATAATCTTTCAACTTGGGAGGTTTGCAGGCATTTATAGACTTTAGTGGATACTTCTATTATTACCACTTCTCATCTCACAATAGTGAAAAAATTATTTGTCACATCTCTACAAAAATTAACACATTTAATTTACTTATCTTACATTTTTAATTCTTGGAGTATCAATTTTATTGAAAAATACAAAAGGCAAATCTATTTCTACAAAAACAAATATAACCATTTGTGAAAATATAATAAACATGAATGTGTTTCCATCATTTGATGTTAAATATAGTCACCTGCATAAACAAGCTGTGTCACCCACTCTACTTGGTCATTGAACCTTACCAAAAAGCTCTCCTGCTTGTGTTTTTAAAGGTTTTTAAGGGTGTGCAAATTATTAAACTTTTGAGAAGCCCTGATATCTGTTTTCCAAGCATTGTCCCACCACAAGACAGTCCATATGAATCCAGGTCAGATTATAAAGTCAATTTCTCTGAATAAAGAAGAGGAGATATGTTTGTCAGTTGGCTGCTTAATGGACTAGTCACATTTAAATGCTGTCAGTGGTACATTCATATCCAGAAAGTTATTGTGGCTTGCAGCTGTACTATTAACTTATTGACTGAGCTTGTCAAATGACTATTATTATGTCAAACTAGAGGCCAAAGATTGTATCTAAAAAAATAAGGGGAAACGTTGTACCTGTAAACATTTTTTCAAATGCTACGTTGACTTCTTGCTGTTTGTGTCCTTATTTCAACCTCAAAAATGCTCAGTTAATGGTCATGGTAGCTTCTTGTTTGTGTTACCTCAACTCCACCCATACCAAGCTGCCTTTCCTTTTGTCCAAATTAGGACTTTCAGGTCTCAGAAACTGGCAAAGTGAGTGATAAACCAACACAAAATCTTTAGATTGACCCTGCAGGAACGTGTAGTCTGGTGACAACACTACAGCACTACTGTACATCAATGTTTTTCTACACTCATTGGTCTAAATTCTTCTTGCCACACTGTTCCATTATTCATCAGCCAGTCCACAAGCCAAAGATTTCTAATTTACTCCCCACCACCTCCACATGACAGCCAGGTCTGTGTACTGGCAACCATGCCAGGACCACCTGCCCACTGTTAATCCCTGTCCCCCATGCTGCTATCCCCCACCAGGATCAATCCTTCACTCTGCTTCAAATCACACTAGAGCTCAAAGCTATGACAACAGGATGATATTTTTAAAAACTATCAGGTGGGAGTGATTGCCATTTCAAATCCCAAGGAAAATGTAAAAAAGTGTAAAAGGTGCTGACAAAGACTTTGAATGCACTGGGCTCACTCAGTCAACTGTTATTGAGTCAACTGTATGTATACATTTAAAGGGGCTATATGTAGTTTTTTTTTTTTATGAAATTAATTAATTTTATTGCTTGTGTGTGAGGAGGTTGTAACCTCACATAAAAATGATCCACTTGCCGGGTTTTTCTGTTACCTCTGACAGCCAGTATGCCTAACCCTTTGTAAAGGTTGGATTTTCCCAGGAAATCCATTGGATGTGACTGTACGCGCACTCCCGAGCCTCTTGCCTATTGATTCTGTACTGTACATGCAGCAACAACATTGTAGCCAGCAACTAGCTACTTAAGCACTCTGCCGCAGTTTGCTTTTTACATTAACTTTAGATTGATTGTCGTTTAAGATACTCAGGTACAGAGCTTCTTCACTTCATTGCTGTAACTTACGTGACCCACGTAATATAGAATAATGCAACATAATGGTGCAGAACAACACCACAGCGGAAGACGCATTCACTACAGTATTTATTTAATTTTTTATTTTGCCTTTGTTTTACAGGGTAAGCAGATTGATAACAGATTCTCATTTACAATGGCAACCTTGTCAGGATGAAGAAAAGTCATGCAGTACAATATGTAATTTCACATAAAATACAAAAATTACAAATACGGTATACGGCTCCTGTAACAAAGTGGATTGCACTATGATATGCCACATCTAATTTCTTCAATAGAGAGTTAGAGGCATTTCTATATACCACATCACTGAAATCGAGAATCGTAAAATGGTCATTTTCACTACAGCATGTTTAGCAGTGCGGGTAAAGGAAGCCCTGTGACAGAATAGGAAGCCTATCCTGGATTTGATCTTAGACTGTAGATGTTTTTTGTGAGACTGGAAGGAAAGTGAGCTATCTATCCAGGCAACTAAATATTTGTAGGTGTCCACATTTTCCAGTTCAAATCCTTCCAGAGTGATAATGTTAGATAAATGTACAGGTGTCGGCAGCAATTGGTTTAGTTTTATCAGAGTTTAGTAAGAATTTTATGTCATGGAAGGAGCGCTGTATGGTGTTAAAGCTTTTCTGCAGGTTTGTTAATACAGTACTAACGAGGGGCTAGATGTATAAATAATGGTGTCGTCTGCGTTAAGGTGAATAAAAGAGTTACGAGCAGCTAGAGCAGAATCATGTTATAAAGTGTAGCAACAATCTCATTTGTAATATTCAGTCTTTCATTATCCAATACATTTAGCTGTGCTGACATTACTAAACCTCCGGTGAGAGATAAACAAACAGTTATTGAAAAGGGGCAGGGGAGCTAATGCAGATGTATCACGTCAGCTAAATGCAGACAGTGTAACATTATCATCATTATCAACTGCACCGGTAGTGGCCGCTGAAAAGTACATGTAGCCCCTTTAAAGAAATGTATTACAATTAAATAAATAAAGTAATATTCTTTGTTGTGAGAACTGGACTCTGATTCCTAATTTAAAATGTTAAATATAGTTACCACAGCTGTTATGATTCCATTAAGTACAATTCCAAAAATAATACATACATATTAGAAACTTTTGAAAGAAGAAACAATACATTATTTCTTTTACAAATAAAAAGTTTCATTCATAAGCAATAAAACATACCTTTTCTCAATTCAATACATTCAGGACGTTGTGCTGCTAGAGCCTTACTTGGTCCGGTATGACCAGTAGCTTATGGTGGCTAATGTTAGCTAATGTTAGCAAAAATCATCAGATTTTTCTATACTTGTGCCACTATTTTAGGGCCGTCTTTCTAACATCTGGCCAGCAGGTTGAAAATTTGCTTTCTAAGCTAACTCATTACTTAGTTTCTGTTTTCTGTTGATTAAGTTGTTCAGCAAAGGTTACAAAGGCTCCCTTAAAAAAACAAGGATGTCAGCACTGTTGATTTCCATTAGGATAAGTCTTATAATACTGTTTCCTATTAATTGTACAAACTGTTTTGGTTAAACGTGTATCCAAATGGTCAAAAAATTCTGCATCAACCTTTATCTCTATGAAAACTATGAGCTGTAAAATAACACACAGATTTCACAACAGAGGGGACACAACAGCTTTTTGGCCTGAGGGCAGTAATCAGATTTCACCCAAAACATGCAAACACCTACCACACACGTACACATACACACACACACACATTCATAAACCATCTGGTGGTATGTCAATCCAACACTATTCAACTAAATAGCTAATCTGCCCCTGGGGAGCTAATACCCCAGCAATGGCTGGCATAACGTACCAATCACACACACATGAACACGCAACATGCATGGATACAGACACATAGGGAGGTACACACCCAGACACACCCTCATTCCTTATATACATGCACAAACACACACATACATACATAAGTGCACATATATCTCTGCAGCCCAGCTGTTGTGAAACTTGACCCATCTCTGTTAATTACTGAACTCTTTTCAGCACACACAGGCACTTACACAGACACCAGAGAGGAAGAATGGTAGAGGGAAAGGATTAGGAAAAGACCAAGCCACACAGTCTAATATGATCTGCTTTGAATTGCAGATCTGTTCCCAGCAGAGAAGCCATGGAGAGAGAGAAATCAAGATAAAAAGGAAAGAAAAGGAGAGTGACATCATGGACAGAGAAAGGAGACACTGGCAGTGAAAGCACTGAAATAGGTCAGTGTTTCTTTCATGTGTGGAACCCTCTAAACACACGGCAGTGCATTATAAATGATAGCACACAGTGATACACTGAGACACGAGAAAAAGGGTCAGAGAACATCACATACTACAAACTCCACATTACCACACATGGTAGTGGAAAATAGCAGGTATACTGCAAGCTGCAGAAAGCTGGGGTCCATTTTTACAATAAAAATCAACTATTCAACTACGTTTACAGTCTGATCACAAATATTGGCAGACTCATGTTTCAAATGTTTATCACATGAAATTGCAAATACATTTTCAAGCCCTTGAGTTGTCCTTGAGAATGTAACCAAAGCATCCCACATTTTATAAATGTTGTCAAACTAGGTGATAAAAGCCAAATTCTTGCATCCTAGCCTTTCCACTGGGGTCTCAAAAGTCCTAGACTCAAAATCAGTTGTCTTCTACCATGCATATTTTCATTTCATATTAGCCATGTTTGACAAATCAGGCAATTATTGGGCTGATATCTTCCAGGTGTTAGACCTCCCAGCAGGCGCATGGTGAAAGTGGTTGATGGCTCTAAGTGTATTGGAGGAGACACATGGTTGTCTACACTCTGTTCAGGCCAAGAGCCATATACCACAGTGCCAAATCAGGGAGAATTTAGGTTAACTTGTTTGAAATCTAGCACAAGCTGCCATTGTTTCAGGGGCCCAGTCATAGGGCAGCAACAGAAGAACATAATTTTTACCTTGCTTGATGTCAGTCCAGAGGAGCTGGTGCACACCCGGTCATAGCAGTGGTTTTGAGAGTGCGTGGCTGGGTTTTACGGGTTTACAGGGTAGTCTGGGGGTCATGCACATGTCCTGCACCATGCTGGCAGGTTTGGTTGGGCAAGACTGCTCTGAAAGTGTGATAGTGTGCTCAACTCTAACTTGTTTCACATTTTGACCTAAGAGACTAACCAAAACACAACCAGGTCACAATTACCTTCGTTTAGCCCGAGGTCCACGACCTCAAGCATACATTATCATTGCACACACACAAATCTGAGCACTTCTCCCAACATTACATTAACAGGTACATCGTAGAAGCCATTAGGCAAATGGATGTGAGTTTTTCTGGCCCCCTCCCTTTTGCATCTCGTGCTACAGGCTCTAACACAAACAGACTGGACTGTTGCAGGCTATTTCTAAAATGAACATGTTAATTTGCATTATGTACATACTGTGTATTGTGTATTGTGAAACTACTTAGTGACCTTCCATTAGTTTTGCGTGCTCAGAGTGGAAAGATAAAAGAAACGAGGGAATTAGGATACATTTGCTAAATGAGAAGAAAATATATCTTTAAATATTATATGATTTCTTCCATTATTTAAGATGAGAGTGATTCTATAAGTCATTAATATACACTTAGACTATAGATATTTTTATCATAAATGCTCTGGTACCATAAAGTCTATTGAAGTTGCATTTCCCAGTGTTGTCAGTCCAAATGTAGAATGAATCAATTCCTCTTAAAACTTAATTTCTTATCGTAGCCCTCACAGGTTTTAGATTTCTTAATAGAGGCCACTTAAAATGCAAGAGCTAACCATCAAATGAACTGTGAAGGCAAGCACGATTAGCATAATTGAGGTTTGATTATTGAAGCTGCAAACACATGGCTGAATCAGGTCTTGAAGGTTTTAGAGATTTTTCAGGGAATTATCCAGTTATAACAACTGGTTTTACAATTAGATTTGGCCAAAAGGGATCTGCTCTTTAAAAGAGGATATAGTGCAGACACTACAGTACGTAATAAAATGTAAATTTCTTCAAACATAGATAGCTGTATATTCAGTTAGTCCCATCCCCAACCCAGTACCCACAAACACTCACACCTGCCACTATTCCATTGTTTCCAGCACTGGGAGATTTTAAAAGAGTCATTTTGGATGATGATGAGTGCTAATGGTGCTCTTCAGGGACAAATACAATGGAGGCAGGGCTAAGGAGATGAAATGACCGTGAGTTTGTCATGTAGATTTTGTGAGTAGTATTTTGTGTGGTTATGTGTGTGTGTGTGTGTGTGTAAACATGTCCCAAAACTGGAAAATCCCTCATTTCACACTTGAATGCCATTTAATGATTGTGTGCGTAATTATACATGTGGGGTGCATATGACAAACAAAGCAGGTCTGTATCTGTGTGTGTGCTTGTTGTATGAAATAAATACAAAGCAGAACAAGCACGCAACTAAATGCAGCTTTCTACTTTCCCTGAATTAAACACCTTGATTAAGTCACTTATTACAGTAAAAGCATTGCACCGAGTCAATTTCAAATTCCCATTTGTAACCTTACTAACTCAATGTGGGTAATTTAGTTATTGCATAAGGCAGTATAAATCAACTATGGTCACTATTATCACCAATGGGCAGATTTCAGTCCGTGAAAAATCTAATTCTTACTGTCTTGCTGAAAAAGATCATTCTAAATACAAACCCGTATATTTCTCTAGACAAATATTTTCTTTTTTTATCTATCTGGGACAGTGGCTAAGCTGGAAGCATTAACACATTAACTGCCCCCTCAATCATTTCTCTGACCTCCATACATACCCCGAACACAGCATAACCAATTGTGTTCTACAAACACCCCAAAAATAGCCCTCCATCCATCACACACAATTATCCTCAGCACCACAGTGCTCTCATGGCTACTGAGAGTACTGCGTGCACACACACATAAATAAATAAATACTGTAGCTACAGTAGTAGTAAGGTACAAGCAAGCAAGCAGTCAAAGTAAATTGCAAACTGGTAAATAAGCAACAGCAGGAATGGAATACACACCCACAATGACACCAGTGTTTTATGATGTTTCCTGTTAGTTGGTGGCCATTCCCTGCTGAAATTACAAGCACTTACACTAAAAATATGGATAAAGAAATGTGATTGGTCAGACTTCCACACTTTACAGTAATCGATCAAAGCAGCATGTTGAACAGTCAGAGGAAAACAACAGAAAACCAGGTTTCTCCTGTCAGGAAGTGTTGAAGGCAAAAGGCAGTCATCAACTAGACATGTCAACAACTTGTGAGGTTACTTTTAAGTTTAATATTCACCAGCTGGATGTTTTTAACCTGCAATTTTCGGGAAACAGGTGACTGATATTTTTGACTCCTATTATTTATTAGTCAAACTAATTATACTGATAGAAACTGATTTAAATACACAAAACCCTTCCTAAATGAAACATTGGGCTACTTTTCTGGGGCATGTTCTTAAAGGAGACCTATTATGCCATATTTTATGACTTATCTATAATATTAAACTGTTGGATGTTCATGTTAAACATGGCGAAAAAGAGACAGGGGCATCTACAGCTTGTTTCAGACAGAGGCTGAAATGAAGGCCTACATGAAGGGCCAGTTTAATGCCGCATTCAGACCAACTGCGAATTTTCGCCTCGCGACGCTTTCCTCGCGTGAGTACATTTGCTGCAAGTGTTCACACAACGCGAGAAGGCGATTTTAACGCAATAACGTGAATAAACACAACTCGCCTTTACTACAACTGTATGAACCCAAAGTAAACATTTTGCTGTGATTAAATAGCAATAAACAGATTAAACTGATGCTGAAATAACTACAATATGATGCAGATTTGTTAAACATATGAATTCATACTTTGTCAGGTCTGTCAGCAAGACAGCAGGACAACAACTTCTAAAATGTTTGTTTTCTGAATGGAGTTTGGATCAATCAGGGCTATGCTATTGCTATACTTGGTCACAGTAAAGTACAACAATAGCTGGAATAAAGTTACAGACACGTGTTTTCTGAACTCACCAGGTAGTTCACCCTCCTCGCTTTCTTTTCTCCCATCAATGTCCTGTTTTGTCCATTTTTTATATAAATATGAAGTCACAGTCCGACAAAGCTAACAATGCTAACAACAACACTGGAACCGGATGTGCATGGAATCTAGCTGCTGAGAAGCTCCAGCGAAGATAAATCAACGTTGAAATCCCAAAAACTAAAGTAAAAAGCTAATTTTATAAAAGCAGTTAACTCCGAGCTCCTCCCGCAAGTAAACGGCGTAGTTGTCAGAGCAGAATCCGACCAACTACGGGGGTTTATTTGTCCAATGGTTGCAGCGCTGCTCCCTACTCCTCTCCCCCACGTTTAGCAGCTCTCACCCGGACAGCAGATTTTCAATCCCCGCTCTGCCTGGCCCTCTCCACACATTGCTCTGAAGCCTCGGTGACGTACGGACAATCTCAACACTGGTAGACTATTGCGACTCAGCGTCATGCGACTTCTTCACTTGAGTTGAAAATATTCAACTCACGCGAATTCCTTCGCGTTGCCTTCGCGTCGCCGGCCCCGACAGGAAATTGCGGCTCTACATTGCATTGACTTTGTATGTAAACTCACCGCCCCGCTTGCTCGTTTCGCTTTTGGTTTGAAAGCACCATAAGATAGAAAATGATTTTGCTGCTATAAAGGAGTCACCGAACTATAGAATATAGGATGGAAATGCAGGATAACAGGTGTCCTTTAACTATAATTGGGCTACTTTTTCAGTCCAACACAAAAATTACAGACAGATTTTTTGTCCAGTTTGTAAGACTACAAATGATACAAAGCAACATTTACGTCATTCACATAAGGACATATGAAGAAGTATTTTGCCTCTTACATGAGCTTAAAGAACATGTAAAGAATCAGGGTTGCAGATGAGATCACTGTGAATGTACATTACTAACATAGTAGTCTACTAGTGGTCTACGCAGTCTATTCAGTCTAACGTGCAGTACTGATTTAACAGAAACACTGACTTACGTTCACTGATGTGGACAGTTATCGTCTGTCTGTCGTGACCACTTGGCAGACCTGATGAGACACAAAGAGAACGAATGTACAATATTACAACCTTTTGAGTCTTCACACCAAAGTTCAACAGATGGAACCAGATGCTATTTGAAACAAGAAATATCTGCGCTCATTGTGGGTCTCTCTGACTGGACCCCTTGACACATGGCGAATCACTGAAAAAGAAGTGAAGACTCCTGCCATATGATGCTCATTAGTCTTTGTTAGTCTGAGCGCAGAAGGAAGCAGAGGATACAGTAGAGCAGACACACACGCACACACGCCTCAAGACTGTCTGCAGCAGTGTTGTTTCTTCAACTATGTGTTTGAGCTTTCAAAGAGCACGTCTGCATGCCAGCCGCTGCCCTCAGGATCACAGGATGCTCTTTCCCTCTTTCTTTTTGTCCGTCTTGTCTGTGTTGCTGCTGATGCACACACTCACACATACGCAGAAACACACACTAACACAGTCTGCCCGGAGGAAAAGAAGAAAGCCTCTATGGGAATCTAAAACACACACAAAAACACACTACATCTCCAATACAGTGTTATGCTACAGTGACAAAACTGTTTCAGTCAACACAATAAAACCACACACCCACACACTCAGATGCAACAAAATGGTGCTTTCATACAAGTCCATTTCCAGCATGTACATTCTCTATTTTCTGCTGTTGTGTGTTAGGTGTTGTGGTGGGCTGCTTGTTAAATCTTCTGATGTAATTTTTATTGTATGTGTAGCCGGCTTGCTGGCTTTCATCATACATGCATTCTTCCTTGTCAAAACCTGGTGTCTGCATTACCCACAATGCAACTCAACCACCGACCGTTCAGTCCAAGGTTCGGATGTGTTATGCTAGGGCTACAGAGATCTGGTAGGCCTAATTTTCTTTCAAACTGCATACATATCCATACAAGATGTGTTTTTTTGGTGCAATGATTGATAATTGCAGTTGTTGACACTGAATCCACTACATTTTCTCAGGAGCAAACTTTGCATTCATTATTTTTTATGCATTTTCTATATATTTCAGCTAATTAGCTATTTGGGCCTATGCATTGTGGAATATTTTGGTTGTAATTTGTTTTCCATTGTAATCCCCTAACACGCCTTTCTTTGCTTTAAGTCATGAAAGCAAAACCTAAGCTGCTGTGAAAATGAACAGAGCACATTTCAGTCCGCGACACTGCACATCCACCAAATATGAGAAGACACAGAAATTCTTCTTACTGTTTGAATGAATTAAATCTATCTATTTATTCAGACGCCTTATAAAACTTTAATTGTGTTTAAACTTTCCAAATGTCACTATTGATAAGCTATTACATCATCCTTAACTCGATCTGTTTACGGAAGAGTTCATCCAATATGCGTTTACGCAGTACTCCTCTCTCTGACTACAGTATGGCACATATGGAACATCTGGGGGAGAAATGTTTAACTGGGTTAAGTGCATTACCAAAGGGCACACTAGATGTATGCCCTACTTAAGGAGAATGTGTATGTTAAATGAGGCTGTGCTGTTGTTTAATACTACTGATACACACATCAGAGACTGTCCTCGTCATCTTGTTTAGCAGCAGCACTGTCTTAGCTGTGCTTGGGAAAACGCCTGAACCTGACCCAATTTCACCCCAATAACATCCTCCAGCTATCAAATTATCTTGCAGTCGTACAGATTGTCTTACAATACTACAGTATACATTATTTGCAAGTATTGACATCCTGGACTGTCTATTTTACACTATTTAGTAATCTCAATTTAAAGACAACCAAAAGTCTTATTAGCAAATTAGAGAATTTTGACAGAGGTGAAGTTGATCGATCTTTCTAAATTAACAGTATAAACATGTGTCCAGCTGTAAACTAGGTGCGTTTCCACACAGACGGTACATATTTAAGACTGTACTGAATGTGCGAAGTGAATAAAGAAACGACTGATGTTGTCAATTCTCTCCATCAAACACGCCCTCTCTCTGACCTGTTTTCATCAGCCACATGGGACAGTAAGGAGTGCGTGCATGCGTGTGTGCGTGTGTGCGTGTGTGTGTGTGTGTGTGTGTGTGTGTTAATGTGTGCACTTTGATGTCCAGTCTATCACCTGCTATTCCCTGTTGATCCAAAACAGGTCTAGCACTCACCAATTCACTAATGAATGTCCCAGAGGTGTGTGTGTGTGTCTGTGTGTGTGTAGCCGTGTGTGTGTTATGTACACCTCGATACATGCATATTACCTCCCACCCCGCCATACATTCCCAACCTGCCCCTTCAGCAATGGCCTTTGAACCTAGTCCATTACTGTGCTCACACACACACACACACACACACACAGACTGAGAGGTCATGGCAATAAATAGCTCATCCACACACTAGAAGGTCACGGGTCACATGCTAAAGAGGGTGTGGGGGAAATGACACTGACATCATTTCCTTGGGATAGGATCTTTAAAGGGATTGCCATCACAGCCACTCATGAGCTGATGAGGTAATTGAGAAAAGAGTGGGAGGTGTTCGGTTTATGTTTGTGTGTAGCATCATAATATAAGTAGTATTTGTGAATCCAGATTTAATATTCTATAAAGCACAGAAATTATGTGATTATGATGTTTCTAAACTGGTTAACTATTATTTGCTTCGTTCTAGTTTGTCATCCTAAGAAGTATTTTAGCTTTGGGTTCCATCACCAGATAATTGTTCTCTTTTTTTTTCTGTTTTATTGCTACAAAAAAGATATTCTCTTCTTTATTATCCACATTTTCTAAAGCATACATCAGTGCTGTAGATTGTAGATGTTTCTCCTACCTAATGTAAACCATCAAGTTCAGTTAATTTCTGAAAATCAACATGCAAAACTTGCTTATGCTGGGTAATCCATCACAGCAAATATATGTGGTGATAACATCTGTGACCACATTATCTTTGTGTGATAATGCAGTTGCAAGCGTGAACCCTGACTTGTGATGCATTTATGTGCTGGTGAGATGCTCTGAAATTTAAGATGTGAGAGCTGGCTACTTAACAGCTCTGTGTTTATGAGTAGTAATGTAATCTAGAAGACCGACAATTCAGCTTTTTACGATCGCTTTGACAATCCTTTCAATACTTAAAACAATTTTCCTAAACTCTTAACACAGTTTGCACAACATCCCTCTGTGTAGGCTATACAATTAACACATTTCTTGTTGCTTTGATACAAAATGCATACAGTGACACAATTTTAAAATGATTGGAATTCTTTTACACACAAGCTCAACCAAGAACAAAACTGCCAAATTTACAAATGCTTTCACACTGTATGTCAGAACAGATAACATCATGTTCTAAACCGAACTTATAGGCTAAATTCAACGTGAACAGCTTTTCATATTGTGACTTGAAACACAAATATTTATTTTTAGGGCTCCTCCTGCCGGAAAGTGTAAATAATTTTGCCATGTATTCTAAAGAAACTGCAGTGCAAAGCATAATCTGTGATCAATACAATATACTGTCTACTGTATAAGGGCAGGCCTGACATATAAAATAATGCAGTTTCTGTAATTCCACCTGAAATTAGTGTTTTTATGACATTGTACTATGACTGACTAAATGTTCCTGTTGGAAGAGAACGTGTGTTAGTGTTTTGGAAGAATTATTTGATTTTAGGACATGTTTTCAGTGTTTTGGTAGATATAGTGTATTGAGTAAATGTATTATTGTATTTTGAAAATTAGTGTTGGAGTTTAGTTTACAATGTTTACAATGTGTGACTTTGAGTGTGAAGTTAACTGTTTTGCCAGTGGTGTGATTGATAAAAGTATTGTCATAAAGTGTTGTCATAGCAATAGTAAAAAACTGTAAGCAAACCATTAAAATGCTGCAGTTTGCTGTTCAACATGCCAACCCCAATTTTATGAGAATATAAAAGACAAAAAGAAGTGTCGGACTCACCAAACACTGAATTTGTAGTATGAAATATGCAGTATGTACTACAAATCTGCACTGAATGTGCATACTGTTCATCACAGTAGCGGGTGGTGATGGCGCATCCATAAAATGCTTGCCTTTGGTGTGGGAGACCTGGGTTTGATTCCACTGTGAGACATCTACCATTGTGTCCCTGAGCAAGACACTTAAGCCCTAGATGCTCCAGAGGTGTTATTTCCTCCTTGTACACCACTGATGAAGGGATGCTGCAGTTCTAGAGCATTGTGGTCCGATGCATACTGGAGTGTTTATTCCAAATCAGCACAACATCCGGGTGTTTTTGCCATTCTGCAGACTCTGCTTTTTGTTTGCATAGTTGTAGAAACAGTAATAGTAATTCATACTAGTATCATGGCATAAGTAGAATGAAAAGTCGTCACTGTCCCATAAGTATAAATGCTTGCCAAAAAGGTTAACTTGCTATCTTTTTCTGGAGCTCTCAACCGCATCTAACGATCATCATTTGAAAGCCATCCATTTAGGTAGACCTTGAGAACCAGCTGAAAGCTCAGGAAACTGCTGGTAAGTGGACCTTGGGACTTTTTTTGTATGTTTGTTTCCATGGTCTAAAATGAACATTCATGAGCAGTCTAAATGCTGTCGCTGAAGCTTTTCCTGAAGGTGAATTTAGCACAAAACATCAATGTAAGGCAATCAATTAATTAGTTAATTAATTAATTAAGATAATTAATGTAACCCTAATTTCACACATTGGTTCTCATTAGAACATTTAGTTAATATTCAGCATTGACTGTTACTAACCCCTCCACTGAACATCTACAGACATTATGTATGTTTTAGTGAAATTAACCCTACTTTCCACAACAAAGCTATGCTCAATTAACCCTCAGCCCCTCTATGGCAGCAGAACAGGGACAAAACAAAGCCGCCTCAGATTGCAAACCCAGCCCTGTGTACTCAGCACAACCTCCAGGGAAGGTAAGATGGCTGAAATGAGGATGGGGGATGGAGGAAGTGCAGGGTGAACATGTAGTTGCCAGGCGATACGTGTGTATATGTGGATGTCATGCTTGGTTGGCAGGAGCTGTAGCTC